AGCATGATAGTGTGATTTGTCCTGCCACTTGATACAAAACTCAAAGTCGTTGCGGCCGAGATCACTGGTTTTTGGATCGATGCCCTCCTTGAGGCGGTGATTAAGGACGACGTCGACAGCAGGGCGAGTGTCCTCTACATAACTCTCCATCCAGTAGTTCGGCGCAAGATCTTCAGGGTCATCTTCAAACATGGCTTCGTCTTCCTCATCATCCTCGTTGTAATTTGACACCTTCTTGGCGGTTCGTGTTGAGAAGCGGACCTCAGTCAATGAGGGCTCATAGCTAGCAGTTTGTTGGAGACGTCGCCTTCTCGCCTTGCTAGCACGAGCACTCTTTCCACCATACTCATCACTGTCGGACTCAGATAGGGAAGACACAGTAGCCGATCGCGAGGCTTTAGATGGTTGTTGGGATGGATCTTTGCGACGACGTTTAGTACGTGGTGCAACATCATCTGAGTCAGAGTCAGATGAGTCGGCAACATGGCGCGTTGTGCGAGCACGACCACTTCGTCGAAGCCCATACAGATCGGGATTTTGTCTGATCAGGTCGGTTTCGCTAACCGGTGACGATTTGCGCTTCGCACCGGGGACGGGGTGAGGGGATGAAGAGTTTTCACGGCTGTATGTATTGGCGCCGTAATCGCTGTTGTCGTCCGCTGCGTCATCATCTTCCGCATCTGAATCGGCAGACGCGCCGTCATATGACTCGTCCGCAACATCGGGTTCGGGGGAGGACTCGGAGACGGGGTGAGACTCCACGGGCTCGGACGGACTGCGCTCACGATGCGTTACCGTGTCGCCATCCGTGTGGGCATCGTCAGCGACCGGCGAAATAGGGTAGCCATTAGACATGGTCGAGGTAGAAGGAGGTTCCTGAGCAGATGGGATCACCATGCCAGAGGCTATTACCGAGGGGCAGTCAGCATTGAAGCTCGATTCAGGCTAGGAGAGGCATGAAAGAGACAGGGACGGGTGGAACAATGGCACGCGACTCAAATTGCGGTCAAATTGAGCCTAAAATCTAGCACAATGGGACAGGATATTGACTTTGATGAAAGAGTATGTTTTTTTGATAACGGGTGGGATGGACGCGGCCAGACTGTAAGCCAAAGCAATGGACAGATTGGTACACACAACCAGACTTGGCGAAAGCAGTGACACGCCGCTTGATCGACGACAGTTGAAAACTGTCCCGATCGGAGCAGAATAGAGGGATTCAAGGATTCGTGCAGTGGGTCGACAAGCGCGGAGAAGTACCGCGGCGAATGCTTCGGTCGGCACGTCTGTGCTTTGAGGAAAAGATTAAATCACTTACACTCCATAGCGTGGTGACCCCGAAAGCGGGGGATCTGTCGATCAATGTGGGAAAGTAAATGGTGGGGGGGGAGGCGTGAAGCTGGAATCTTGGGGAGGAGGAGACGAGAGACTTGGAAGAACTAAGAGTTGGGGACTGACTGGAGGGTTTGCTTCGGTTTGGTTTGCAGGGAAAGTAGACACCCGATCTATTAGGCATCAATTAGCTTAACCCTATTGGGGCTAGCGCATTCGCTTGGCACCGGACATAACATATCATCACGTGGCTTGCGGATCTCGGATAAACCGCCAATCCGAGTCCAGGCCAACAGCCAATCACCGCCTTGATAAATAAGTGACGCAGTGGTGGCCTAAGGCATCACAGCCCACAGAAAGCGAAGTGCATTCAATTCTACCGCCCCTCGTTCGTCGACAGCAGTGATTCTTCCTGTCTTATTTCTAGTCAAGTCTGCGCAGAGATACTTGGTGCTTTTTGCTGAGCCCAGTTGATTCACCTGCGACAGCGCTTATTCCGCCAATCTCAACCCTCCGCCCCTCCTCCACTTGGTGCTGATTCTTTTTTTCAACCCGCTTCATACAACACGGTTTCCTTTGAACCACATCCACCCACCATGTCTGACAAGCTTACTCGGTATGTTTCTGGAGCCTTTGGAGTGTCATATCACCAGCTAACGATACATTTCTCTCTATAGTATTGCGATCATCAACAGTGACAAGGTTCGTCGCGAAATACCCCCACTAATAAGATTTTCTCTCCGGTTCATGAATGCCTGGCTCACACGACATGTTTCCAACTTTACAGTGCAAACCGAAGGTACGCGATTCGTTTTGATATTTGCTGGTCTGCACGGAGGCTAATGAATTACAGAAATGTCGTCAAGAGTGCAAGAAGTCTTGTCCCGTGGTCCGCACAGGCAAGCTTTGCATTGAAGTCGATCCCAGTTCTAAGATCGCCTTCATTTCCGAACGCCTGTGCATTGGTTGTGGTATCTGCCCCAAGAAGTGCCCGTTCGGAGCCATTCACATCATCAACTTGCCTACCAACCTCGAGACCCAAGTCACCCACCGCTACTCAGCCAACAGTTTCAAGCTTCACCGACTTCCCATGCCCCGTCCCGGTCAGGTTCTCGGTCTGGTTGGAACAAACGGTATTGGAAAGAGTACCGCGTTGAAGATTCTTAGTGGCAAGCTGAAGCCTAACCTCGGTCGTTACGAGAACCCTCCCGACTGGGAGGAAATCCTGAAGTACTTCCGTGGTTCCGATTTGCAGAGTAAGCACCATAGCCTGAGTATCACGGCCTCTGTCCGACGTTGCTGACTGTGATAGACTACTTCACCAAGATTCTGGAAGACGATCTGAAAGCGGTTGTGAAGCCTCAATATGTCGATCAGATTCCTCGTGCTGTGAAGGGACCTGTTCAGCAGGTGCAGCAGCTCATCTCCGCGCGCGCTGCGCTGGGTAACGAGCAGGAGATTATGGATGTCCTTGGTATGTTCCTGTACTCCAATATCCTGGGATTCATTTGCTAACCTTCTCCCAGAGCTGAACCAAGTTGCGCAGCGTGATATCGGCCACCTTTCCGGTGGTGAGCTTCAGCGTTTTGCTATCGGTCTGGTTTGCGTGCAGAAGGCCGACGTGTATGTTCTCCGTTCAGTATATTCATGCTATTGAGTCCTGTCCGTTACTAATACTAATATAGGTACATGTTCGACGAGCCTTCCTCATATCTCGATGTTAAGCAGCGTCTGGCTGCTGCCCGTACAATCCGCAGCCTCCTCCGCCCTGATGACTATGTCATCGTTGTCGAGCACGATTTGTCCGTCCTCGATTACTTGTCCGACTTCATTTGTGTGCTGTATGGTCGTCCTGCTGTTTACGGTGTCGTCACTCTGCCTTCCTCCGTCCGTGAGGGTATCAACATCTTCTTGGACGGCCACATCCCTACCGAGAACCTGCGATTCCGCGAGGAATCGCTCACCTTCCGCCTTGCCGAGGCGGGTGAGGAGTTCGTTGCGGACAAGGATCGTGCCTTCGCTTATCCCGCGATGGAGAAGACCTTGGGTGACTTCCACCTGAAGGTTGAGGCCGGAAAGTTCACCGACTCCGAGATTGTCGTCATGATGGGTGAGAACGGAACTGGAAAGACCACTTTCTGTAAGATGCTTGCTGGTGCATTGAAGCCTGATGGCCTTATCTCCGTTCCCAAGATGAACATCAGCATGAAGCCCCAGAAGATTACTCCCAAGTTCACCGGTACCGTGCGCCAACTCTTCTTCAAGCGTATCAAGACCGCGTTCCTGTCTCCTCAGTTCCAGACCGACGTCTACAAGCCCCTGAAGATGGATGACTTCATCGATCAGGAGGTTCAGAACCTGTCCGGTGGTGAATTGCAGCGTGTCGCTATTGTCTTGGCTCTGGGTATGCCCGCTGATATCTACTTGATTGACGAGCCCAGTGCCTACCTGGACTCCGAGCAGCGTATTGTCGCTGCTCGTGTCATCAAACGTTTCATTATGCACACCAAGAAGACCGCTTTCATCGTCGAGCACGATTTCATCATGGCCACCTACCTGGCTGATCGTGTCATCGTCTTCGACGGCCAGCCATCCGTGAGTGCTCGCGCTCAGACGCCAGAGTCTCTGGTCGGTGGTTGCAACAGGTTCTTGAAGAGCTTGGATGTCACTTTCCGTCGTGACCCCACCAGTTACCGCCCCCGTATCAACAAGTACAACAGTCAAATGGACCAGGAGCAGAAGCTGGCAGGCAACTTCGTAAGTTTTCTACCTCATCCACAGATTCTATCAATTCCATTTATAGATCCGGCGCTAACTATATTCAACAGTACTTCTTGGAAGAAGAGAACTGAAAAGGGCGTCCACAACGAGCATCGTCGCCGCCGTCACAAACGTGATGGCCGCGACTATGAGCAGCGGCGCAACAGGCACCGCGGCGATTGGAAGACCATGTGGTTAATGGGGTTCCCAGGCGTATACAGAGCCTCGGGGGTTCAGGGAGAGGGATTCCGTCACCGCGCCGGGTCCTCTTCCGGTGCCGATGACGGTCTCTCGGACGACGATGGAGATAATGACGATGATGGCGATTTAAATGGCAACAGTGACCCCGACTAAAAGGTAGTGTGGCCTGCTTCACACCCTGCTATTCCTGGTCTAGTACGCTCATTTACTTCTGCGACCTGTTGCCATTCGTCAGTCTATCAGCAAATGTCTACATCGTTATTCGCCTTGCAAACTGCCTTGATTTGCTCTGGGTTTTTATATCATATCCAGAGTCGTCGGCCCCCGGTTGGGAACACATGTCCACAGATCTTCCACTAACGCCTGTTAAATTTTTAATGGTGGATTAGGTTCGGCATGGTTTATTGTTCCAACGGAGTTTCTTATGTTTGCATTAGGTTGGAGGGTTTGGGTTCCAAAAAAAGCTCTTCCATGAATTTTATGATTTGTTTAAAGATGTTGCGTCAGAATGGATTGGTGATGAGGCTGATTCCAGACTTGGGATGGCATGGAATAGGCGATTGCTGAAAAGCTGCCAGGTACATTACATTACCTCTACGTCGTGTAGATAGTTTTCAACCAATTGTTGTACAGATGTTTTTTGAACTTCCTATTCTCTCTTTTTTGTTCATCCTGGTTCCAACCTTCTACAGCAGGTTTCGTCCAGTCTACATCCTCAGAGATCTCTCACTGGCCTCGCTCTCGTCATCATCACCCTCAGAGTCCTTGTCATCCTTAGGAGACGTCGCCTTAGCGGGAAGTCTCTAGCAAGAGAGACGACGGGAAACGCTGCAGGAGGCCTACGCCTTCGTGCCGACGGACCTCTGAACCGCCGACGGCGTCTTGGACAACCCGAGTTACACTCCGTTGGAAGCTGACGACTGCCCCGTACCAATAACGAACGTTATGCTCGGTCCAGTAACTCTTCTTTTCCATCCCACCGCGCAAAGTCTTGCGTCGTTCTCGACGTGCGCGAACCTCACGGAGCCGTCGAACCCCGTCAAATGAATGGTCCGAGTCATGCATATTGTAAAGCATCGGCCTCTCCAGCAGAGGCTGGTAGATGCTCGCGCCATACGCAGGACGGTATGGGTGATTGAAGGTATAGGTGATTGGAGGTGAGCGATGATGTGGAAACAGAAGCTAAGAACTGGGACTTGCGAGGAGGTCGTTTCGGAACCTGCGACTCGGGCTTTTTCGTCGTCGGGTCCTCGCAGGAGACCCTATAGCCGTGCGTTTCCTATCACTCTTCTTTCCCCACTGAGTTGCCGAGCCAGAAGTCGCCTATATGCTCAGGCATACCCAGACCCGTTTCGCATTGCCATGAGTGCCCGGACCTGGGATGGCGCTGGTCGGACTGGTGAGGCGGTGCAATCTAGCGAGCGACATCAAAGAAGACCCTTGGTCCAGTTAGCTCGACTGGCCGTATCCTCGACATCTGCCATTTGTTTGAAGAGGACGATAGATAGCATAACTCGCTACCAACACTTCAACACCTATAGAACGTGGAAACGGTTGCGTAAAGCAATCGAGGTCGTGCGCTGTGAGCAACTTCCTGGGGTTTATACCGCGAGGGAAAAAGGGAAAAGGATGATAAATTTTTCTGGTGACCTTGGAGTGATGGTCCCGCTCGGGATTTGAAGCGCTCGTCGATAGTGTTGAGGCTGGCCAGTTTTTCCTTTCCGTCCGTCGATTTTGTGACGGATATCCAAACGATCGACAGGCAGAAGCGTGTTGTTTCATCAAGCGTTCTTTGATGACAGGTGTTTTGTCGCCCCAGGCTCCTTGCTTAATAGCTTGGACTTTGTGCTGGATTCTCTCGACCTCCTCACTCATAACCTGGATCGAAAATGGTTTCAAATTGCCCCAAGAAGACTTGGAATTTCAGGAAATCTCGGACGTCATCAGACAGATTGAAGTTTTCCTGGAGTAGGTTCTGTGCTTGTTCGACAGTCTTCCGTTTGAGTGATGATGTTCATAGTGGGAGAATGCCTATTTGTTGTATCTGAAATAGACATCTGCGAACGTTCTCATCGAAACCAGGAAAATCGTTTCGTTGACAATGTTTCCTGGAGTTTGCCCACGATCCCCTCCGCACCGAGGGGAACATACTGTACTTTCTTACCTTTTCATATTGCCTTTGCGGCCGATTTTCGGTCCAGAAAGGCGCGATGAGGAAGGCGCGACGATTCCCTCATTATATCATTATATCTAGTAAGGCGATCGAGTACTTCGGCCCCTTCTAGATCAGCGAGGCCGACCTGCAGCACCTCCCAGGAAAGAGGATCAGCCCCCAGGTCCGTCGATAGGTGTCTTACTTGGATTCTGGCGGAAATGCAGGTAATCCGTCCTTCAGTTCCTGCATCACATCGTTGTTGTTCGATCCGCTTGATGAACAGCATTCCGTAGGTCGACAGAAATCCATAGCACAAGCCGAAGTTCCTCACGAGCTCGGGAAACCCAAATATCATGAAAGCTTTTTTACAATACTGACACCGTAGGCAGGCTTGTCGCCGGAAGCCTTCATTGCTTCAATGTGATACCTGCTCTGCCGCTTGACTTGTTATCGCCATGTGCACTTCCACCCCACGCTGGTATTCGGCGATTTGGCCGTCTCGGCTAGAAGTGACGAAGGTATTCGAAGAGGAACGAGTTGTTGCTGGGCCATGGCAAATCAATATATAATGTGGTCGTCGTCGTTGTAGAAGTGCAGACCCAAATGGCATTTCCCTGCATCCTCGGCCATATACGTAGTGACTTGGGCGTTTGCACCTAACGTATAAGCACCTCTTGAGCTTACTGTCGATCTTCTTTGTCAGAAGAACGTTGGCTCTTGACCGGGAATTACCCTGTCGACTGAAACATTGATGGTACCAGCAAGAGTCTTGCCCCGTGTGGACTAATCGAAACCAAGGTATAGTGTGCTTGCCCAACGACAGAGGGCGCGTTGGTTATCAGCAAAGGTAAATCTGGCAATGTAATTATCATTCTGATACCAAGGAGAAACAGAATACTGCTGAGTAGGAGGTTGTTGGATGGTACCCCTGTAGCCCGCTGGCCCGTTGGCATAAGCTGGCCACCTTGGTGAGACACAGTAGGATCAGAAGTTGAATCCGGCGACTGCTGGGCAGAGGGACAAAATACTTCTTCAAAGTGGGCTGGTGACGAAGATGATACATATGTTTAGAATCTTGGAAGGGGATGGACGTATATGCTCTGGAAGAAACTTACTGTCTTGTGTGAAGGGAGAGTCAAACAGAGGAGAAAGGGGAGTCAGAGGAGACAAAGGGGAGTATGGAAGCAGGAAGTGGAAGCAGGAAGAGGAAGATGTAGAAGAGAGATGTGAGGGAGCAATCATCTCCTTATTTATACCCAAATCTTCCTCTATTGTCCCCAATATGGATGCACATAAGTTCTTAATCCAAACAAACTGGCGTTAAGATCTATATAAACCTCCTGAGGGCTCGCGAAGTTTGTTTCCGAGTATATAAACTGTATGAATCATCTGTCCCACATTATGTCCACGGGTAGCGCTGTAGATTATTTAACTGTAGTCTATTCATGAGGGTCATCAGAAGGCAAGGCCACAGGCCAAGGAGATATACAACCTAAAAGAGGTCCTGAGTAAAGTCGATGATCCAATGACAGGCCACATCTCCTAGAAGTGCAATTAGTTCGGCATTAGAGTGGCATTACGGACTGAAATGGTTCAGACACCAACTTTTGGGAATCACCCCTAGCGCAAGAGTGAGCCCAAGCTATATTTAGTATGCAAGTCGGAATGGTGGACGTCTAGAGGGATTACCAGACCTGGAGGACAGCAAATGAGATTGCAACATAGATTCAGCTCAATATCCTACATGTGTATTGAAGGGCAGAAATTACTTGCATATGAAGCCAAGTGTGAATGAAGATATCCACACCCAGCTACTCCTCTTCAATCTCTCCTTCCTCGCTGCCAGAGTGAATGGCCTTCTCGTCCTTCTTCGCGTCCTCATTTTCTTCTTCCGGAATGGCAGACCGCTCCCGTCGGGGGGCTCTCGGACCCTTGCTGCGCTCTCGCTCCCGGCTATCACGTCGGTACCGCTTAGCAGACCGGCTAGCCACACTCTCAGTATCACTGTCACGTCGGCGTCGGCGGTCACCACTGGCCACACTGCGAGTGTCGCCGACAGTACCACCACCATAATCAAGCTCATCACGACCTCCACGGGGATCGCCGCGAGTGCGGTACAAGCGCTCGCGTTCGTCTTCACGTCGGTCTGGGTCTCTAACACGGGGACGGTCAAAGTCACGGTCCCGGCTACGATAACGGTCACGGTCTCCACGCTCATCGCGACGGTCACGAGATGGGGGAAATACCGCTGACCTTGCGGTAGGTTCGTTCGCGGTCGGCCTGGGCCTTACGACGGTCTGCTTCGTATGCATCCATTTCAGGGGTCCGGTGTCCTCGTCGTTCTCCTCTTCCGCTGCGGTAGTCACGATCACCACGATCGTAATCCCGCCGACCTCCACGGCTTTGAGAGAGTGCTTCGCGCTCCCTCTCTGCATCCTCATCTCTTTCTTTCAAGCGGCGAATTGCTTTTTCAAAGGCAGACTCCCGAAGTTCGTCGGACTCAAGGGCCTTGTATTCGTCGTACTTCTCAAGGCGAGGTTGGACTTCAGCCCAGGTATCGGTGACCCGGACAGGCGGTTCTAGACGCTTGATACGAGAACGCAGTGCGTCCACGGCACGGCGTTGCTGACGATCGGCGGCATGCTTCTCATCTTCAGTGCGCCGGATCGCCTTTTCTTGGATGCGTTGGAAGATAAGGTTGAGGATGTCAGGGTCGATCTTGGAGGTGCGGCGGTCGGCAGACATGATAGAATTGAATTCATCAAATGTCGTTTCAGGCGTAACTTCGTATCGTTTGTCCTGAAATCAGTTCGTTAGTATAGATAGTCAACGATCCGATTGGACCCGAAAGAACTTACATCCAGAACATCCAGCACGTCGTTCCGAGGTCCACGCAAAGCGCGCTCTTCTTCTTCCACCATATCCCAGAACAGATCAAGAGGGGTCGAACCAGACTGGCCCAAGATGCCATGGTATCTGGGGTCATCCTTAATTATCGGGCAGATATTCATCCACTTGGCGCCCGCCTTGATCTTACCTTGGGATCGGAGCTCCTTAAGGAGGGCCACGAATTGCTCTCGGTTCTTACGCTCTTTTCTGGCTCTGGCTGCCTTGTGTTGCTGGCGAGCATCGTTGAAAGCCCGCTCCAGGGACTTGATATGGTTCTCGAAGGCAATCAGAATGTCAGACTTGCTCAGGGTCTTGAACTTGTCATCACCTTGGAACTTGCTGTCAGACTGAATGATAGCATGAGCCTCGGACCAACGCGTGTATGGCTCCAGGTTGAGTGAGCCCAGGATGTTCATCAGCTCATCCATAGCAGCCTTGTGTGTGACAGATTCTTGCTCGACGTGAGCCTTTTTGAGTTCAAGGATGTACTCTTCGAAAAGCTGGCGTCTCTCAGATTCCTCATTGGTAGACCTGAATGTGGTCTCCCCCTCAATGATCGGACGGATCGTCTTCCAGCGGCTGTAGTACTTAATTTCAGGATGCCGCTTCAGCATGGTGTTGAAATCCGCACGAAGCTTGGCGAATCGTTCTTTCGCCCGGTCCTTTTCCTGCGCGCGAACCTCGACCACGTATTTCTCGAATGCTGCCTTGCGGTCTCGCGGATCCTTGAGAGCCCGGTATTGCGGGTCCTTGATCGTAGCGCGCATTGTTTCTTCCCAAGTCCAATCAGGCTGCACGTTGTGGCGTTTGAGCAGCTTCATGAAGGCGTTCTCGGCCTCTTCAAGAGAATGATAGTCGGGATCCATGGTCTTGAATTCTGGAGCAGCAACCAAGCCGTTCGTCGCTTCATATGGCGCATATCCACCGCGTCGGTCGCCGTATCCACGATCACCGCGATCACCGCGGTCACCTCGGTCACCTCGGTCAAAGTCTTCACGGTCACGTTGCTGGGGTTGCGGGAAAGAGGTCCCGCCTGCCACAAAGGAAGGCGCACTAAAATGTTATTAGCATTGAGGTAAGTCAATTTGGGAAGGCACCTACGCGGGGGGGTGCCAGGGGGGCGGGCGCCTGTGCAAGCGCATCTTTGTAAACTTCAGGCATTTCCCATGTGCTTTGCTTGGTTTCTGTGTGGTACCAGTACTTGCGTCCAGCATCTGTAGTGTGTTCCCTCCATGGCTGGTTTGCGAGAGCTAGCTGCAAAGAAGTCAGTTAAGCTCATAACATTTTGGGGTCTAGTACAAACCTCAACCGGAGTCATCAACTCTTGAGGCTTGGTCCATTGTGTGGCTTTGGTCTGGACATTGTAATAATAAACGCGACCTTCAGCATTCTGCGCCTGCTGCCATAGGGCAGCGCCTGGGTTGATGCTTAAATCCATTGTCAAGGGTGTTGAAGAGAGCAAGAGAGAGAAGTGAAAACGGAGCTTGATCACTGATCTCCGCGGTTATGCGCTTTTGGCATTTCGCGTCGACCGTATCAACACTTATCGGTTATCTCCTGAGCTCCAAACAGCCACTTTATTGACTCCTTTGCGACATCTGTTGTCGCAATGCCTGGTCTGGAGATCCCGGGTGAATTCTTGCGTCATGCCATTCTCGACACAGTTGTCCCTCATTCTCCGGCACTCGACATTGAGGGCGCTCTGAGTTCGTCTCTAGAGAACGGAGCTGATGATCTCCCCTCTGTTCTCTCGTCAATCCCTCAACGATCTCTATTATTCTTCGGTAGGCACTTTCAAAAGCTCACGAGGGTTTTCCTCTTACTCATTAATAGCTATTAGATGAATTCTTGTCTGTCCGTATCGTCTTGAGGCTGTCTGATTGCTCAGAAACCATCCTAAAACACTATCTGCCACGACTTGAAGTCAAGCTCGATGTCTTCGCCGTCGACCCGGCGGAATCAGTCGGTGAAAATCTTACGCCAACTCGTGATATAATATTCTCGGGAATAGTCAGTGGAGATGAGGATCCCCTGGTGGTCTTCAACGAATTCGAGGGCGACGAAGGCAGTGGGAACCATGTCTATTTGGTTTGGAACATTGAAACTGTACTGCGTGAGTTATTTGGATTTTTGGGTCGGATACCATGATCTGAACGTCACTAATTGGTCGATAGGACGTCCCCGTATTCGAATTCATCACCCCTCACTCTTATTCATTGCCTCTACCACTCTGAATCCAGCTGACGCTCGCCGCCAAGAGGATTCGGAGGATGATTATCTTCCTTCACTTGTGCCCGCGTCGACTAATATGCTACAATCTCTATCCATCGACAAATCATTCAATCATAAAGAGCCTTTCCTCCCTGCTTCCAGACTGTTGAGGGTTGTACCGACGACGTATAACGAAGACCCGATTTACAATATCCAGCAACACCACGGTCATCCCTTTCGTGTTGTGCCCGCCGCAAGTGCAAGGATTCGGTACTCTCGGCTGAACTCCTACACTGGTACACCAATGACAGTGGCCAGTCTTGACTTTGAGGTCACCCCTTATCTGACTTGCGAGGTCGCCTTTGACAAAGCGAATCTTCACCTGTCCGAGGGAACGATTGAGTCTCTGTCAGACACACCGGGGCTGGCTCTTCCTATTACTTGCCGTCCGCGAGACGACGTGACCCTCATGTACAAACTCACACCGGAGTATGGCCCAGAGACCAATCCATCATCTACCGCGTTGGTCAGCACTCTGGACATAGCTCTCGAGGCAATAATTCTTGTAGATGACGAGTGCAAGCCACGTATTTCTATGCAGTGGAGAACAAACGTCGATTTCTCAGTCGCCTTAAACCCGACCTTTGGGGGGCCCAGTCCAGCGTTGCAAAGGACCAACCGCCCTACCAGTCTGTCCGTGTCGACCCAAGCGGGCGCGACACCTTCAAATCGAAGCTCATTACGAGAACGAGCATACTCGGTTACTGATGTTGGCATCACAATCTCCTTTTCTGGACCTGTTCGTGTACAAGTTGGTTCTGTCTTCTCTTGGGATGTTTTCATTGTCAATCGATCAAACGTTCCTCGCAAGTTTGCCTTAATTGCCATCCCAAAGCGGAAACGTGTGGACCCACGAGGGCATGTTGCTCGGCCTTCTTCATCATCTATTACCAGCCGGAAAGAGGACCAAGTGGCCGAGGCGGTGACTGACGATAACATTGTGCATGCGAGGCAAAAGAGTGTGGCTGGTCAGGAAGTGGAACTGATCAGCTTGAGCACAGATATCCGCGTAGGGTGAGCATTCTCTACCATGTTTCTTTCCCTTTATCTCTCTAACCTAACGTTTTTTAGCCCTCTCCTTCCAGGAACTTGCCACTCGACCGAACTGAAACTCCTTCCTCTGGCCACAGGCCCACTTCATTTGGAGGCTGTCCGGCTTGTAGATGTGAACACGAACGAAACGACAGATATCCGAGATCTTCCGGACATTTTGGCGGATGATCAGCCTCGCTCCAGTTAAGAGCAACCCAACACTGTACATATATATATGACATCGAGCTATAGCTACTTTTAATGTAGCATGTCCTTAACATATTATCTTTCCTATAGCCTTTTATGGTATGCTTCTAAAACAGTCGTATCTGAGGTTGATAACACCTTCGGCCCGGCCGATTTCGGTATTTCGTCGAGACTCTACGGGACCTCATATCTACTTTGTAGCTTTTCACTGCCCAGTAGCTGCTCTTGGATTTTGAAACTCCAAGCTGCGCTGTGAACGACTGAAAGCCTTACTATTACCCTGGCTAAGAGGCTGGAGAGAAACAATATGAACTTATGGTACGCCCCTTGGGGTGGCATTGTCTGGTACGGTCTGTACTGCTTGCTGGGTACTGCGAATGGCTTACTGTCTCGATTGTCAGGGTAGGAGGCATTATGGAACATTCTTGCGGAGTGTATCTTCCGACCTCGTGTAAGCCATGCTTTTCAGGCGCTGGATGAACAGGTTGACGTCTGTAAAGCAAGGTATGTTATTGATGTCTGTCATACCGCCATCAGCCGCGATGGACTGATCGAAAACGCCGATTCCAGATGCCGCGGTTCAACAAGCACTGTCAAAGTTCTAGGTTATTTCTGATTTCGTGACGGCCTTGATGAAAACTGCTTCATTGGCACCCAGCGTGTTGGATCCTCGCGTGTTCTTTTCCCCATGAGAAGCTGCGTATTGATGTTGTCTGTACGAAAGTGACCGGTTTGCCGGAATCGGGAGATAGAGAGCGGCTGCGACCTTGCTAGACCATCGTGTCACGAGCGGATCTGTCAAGAGCACACCATTCAGCTGCTCTTCCCTTCTCAACAACAAAGATTCAGCAGGTTTGTGTGTAGCTCCACAAATTCGGCATCTTTCTGGGCCTTCAACAGGGGCATCACACTCGGCTTCCCCTTAATAGGTCCATAGACTTGCTCAGCAAACACTCGCATTTGGAGGAGTATTTGCTGAGTTTTCTCCATATGTGCCAAGGACCTGATGCTCTTGGTCTGAGACATGACGGTCCTTCCAGCTGCCCTCCCCGAGACCAAAGTCGACACACTCCTTCTCCTTCTCGATGGACCACCAAGGCGGCAGCAAACCTTTGCGCTGAGTCTCCTTGGGTAATCGGACGACTAACATACTCGCTGCATAATGCCTGCCATGCTGGATAATGTCCAGTCTGTCCTGAACGGCCAGGAGACGCCCACCCAGTATGTGCCCAGCAAGCCCGCCTAAGCAGGATTACTTCTCTCCATGACAATTGCAGGTTTTCTGATCCTTGAGGTCAGGATCAGGGGGCTTCGTGTTGGGCTTGCGCTTCATGGTCAGCCCAACTTTCATAATAGACATTGCTCCGAGGACAAGCGCCCCGACTTGACTCAGGTTGCCTGTCAGCGGTACGCATTTCCGCGTAAGGAAGCAATGGAGTTTGGAAATCATATTGGTTCAAATATCAAATATAAAGTTAGATAGAGTGTGTCGATAAGAAGCTTGAACACATCTAGTTCTGTCGGGTCGTGTAGCCACCTGTGCGCGGCAAGGCGGGTGAAGGGAGTGGTAATCGCAAATTCGAGCCCAGATTGGACATTCCATGTTTCGTAATCCGGAGACGAAGATCGGCTCATTGTGTTGCTGTCTCGTTGGGATCTCCATAATTCAGCGAGGCCCATCCTCAGCTTGGCCACGATTTGCACTTAGTTCCATTGCTGGGATTCTTAAAAGGGAACGGAGTTCGTCCATTTCTAAAGCAAGGTGTTTGACTGCCTTGCCGGGGGGGTTGTAATCCTCCTATAAGTCTTCGTAATGCACTAGGTAGAAGATACTAATACTGCCTCAGCGGGCAGCTGCTCGGTTGAGACTCTCTCAGTGTACTCCAAATCGGTCTGAGCTGACTGCGAGACAGCTGGCACAATCACTTCTGACACTTGGCCAGCTGTATCCATTGCGTATTTGTCGGAAATGGAAAGCAATAGGGATCCGTTGCCTTCCACCATCTCCTCTGTTAGCCTCTTCTTACGGTCAGCCTCGTTCCCACACGACTCGACCATGCCAGCTGTGCGTAGGCACGTTGACGGACTCACTGACCTTCTGGCACACACGACGGACACGACTCCCTCGGTAAGGGTGGTATCGTGCATTTCTTGCATGTCGTTTCAACAGGTGAGTGCGGCCTCGGCCTTTCACAGGCTGCCAGGGTTCAAGAGCGGCATTGTGGTGGACAGAATCGGAGGGAGGAACCACAGTACTAGATGTCGGATCGGAAGTCATCACGAGATCGTTGTCGGCATCGACGGGAGCTGTTTGCCAGATACCAGAAACATTGTCTGAGCGAAAGACCAGCCCTGGAGTGCCGCCGTTGTTAATAACGGGGGAGTATTCCACTCATCCATGGTTGCCCAATTGCTTCTGCAACCTTGAATGGCAGCCATCTACATAGGTATTTGAATATCAGTGAAGTAATCATCTTTTTCCATCATAATAACTTACCACTTTATACTAGGTCATGGTAAATATATATATCGTAACAGTAGTGATTAGCTGGAGGAGGACACTCTTTGGAAGAAGGGATAGAGATAGGGGACTATATATATATAGTCCACCGGGAAGTGAAATGAATTGGAAAGGAGAAACATTTGAAAGAAAAGAGATAGAAAAGAGATACTTTGTGTACTAGTAACTACATAGAAGTGGCATATTAACTGTACTGTTGAACGATATGAACTGTGGTGAACTAATCCCGATAGAAAAGCTACCTGTACGATTTGCCCTTTTCAATGTCTTTGTTATATCACATACTATCCATAGTGTCTACTCTGTGATATTGTTCATTTACCCTTTTAGAAGGTTATAGTAACCATGTATCTATCCAACAGCCGCGATCTACCATGATCGACACTCGGAAGGAAACCGAGTGCCAAGACTGGCCCCCAAGGAGGCAGTGTTGACAAAGGTACAAAGAAAGATATTTATCACTGTTTGAATTGAAACACAAAATACTGTTATAGAATTTAGTGCCCATCAAGTGAATGTATAGGTCATTATTATGTAGATCGTACGAGTTGATATTCCAAGCGAAATATAGTTCAACGAATGTGATTGGTGGGAGCAGATCACGGGGTAATCGACTCGGCATTGGGGGGCCAGGTGACTTTCGTTAGTCAAAGGAATCCGGAGAAGGGCTATCTTCTTTCCTTGATATCATCATCTTATCTGGGATTTTCCTAACATCGGGGATTGGGTTTAATATCCAGCTTCTCAAAGTTGCCACTGCCCCGGTGTCCCCTTGTACTTTGCGTCATACTGGCGCACCCGGTCCCTTCCCAGAAATCTTGCCTATCACTCTGCTCCAGTCGCCAGAATACTTCAACATGCTCTGTTCTGCGAAACGGAAAGTCCTGGATGGACTGAATAGAAGATACATTTACGGTCGCGTGGTATGTTTGATGCCCCTTACTGAGACCTGGCATGTTGTCACCTCTCAATTTGCTTCCAGCTGCTAATCATACTATCATTATCTGGTAGCCTTTATTGCACACGATCATTTTCCTTGTCGAGATGGCAGTAGCAGCACGCCTTGCTGCGAAATTTAATACCTACTATGCTGAAAGGCCAGGTAAGCCTCTTGCCGCCGGTTCCCGCGGGATCACAGACTGACATCACTGCTATAAATAGTGCTCACGACGATGGTCACCAACGCTGTAAGCTTGCCGCAATATTAACCACCGAATTATGAACCGACAATTGACAAGATGGATGCTATAGGTTCTTGGTGGTGTTGCCGATACCGTTGCGCAGTTGATTACGGCCTTCCGGACCCGCCGACCTCCAACCAGCGGCGACGATTTCCTTTCGATCGAGATCCCCGACTTTGACAAGCAGAAGCCCCCCGCTGTAGGGGAACTGGGATATGTCCGGAGCTCGTCCCCGCCTTTCGATTTTGAGCGTCTGACGAGGTTCATGGCTTATGGCTTCTTCATGGCGCCGGTGCAGTTCCAGTGGTTTGGATTCTTGTCCAGAGCATTCCCGCTCACCAAGAAGAACCCGACAGCTCCGGCTTTCAAGCGTGTTGCCTTTGACCAGTTCATTTTTGCACCATTTGGTATGACCTGCCTCCAACTATTCTGGGTTGTTTTTTTGGACTGGACTGATTTATCTAGGTCTGGCGTGCTTCTTCACCTACATGACGATTGCCGAGGGTGGTGGTAGAAGGGCATTGACACACAAGTTCCGTGATGTCTACCTGCCGACCCTAAAGGCCAACTTCGTGCTCTGGCCGGCAGTGCAGATCCTAAACTTCCGTGTCATTCCCATTCAGTTCCAGATTGTGAGTCTACCAGGTTCTCCTTGTCGAGATGGGATCCATACTGACTTCCTAAGCCATTCGTCTCAACCGTTGGTATTGCGTGGACCGCATACCTTTCTCTGACTAACTCCGCCGAGGAGGCCTAATTGAATATTCAACGCGATCATTATGATAACGATTCGGGCTATAAACGCTATAAATTGCGCTCTTTTCTTCCAAATTATTCAGGCGTTCCGGTTTATTAGGTCTGGTTTTCATGTACATGGTTATGGTATTTGCCCACGGGCAGGATTTGCATTTCAAGGTCGGATTTTGCACATTTGGGAATATCAACTTGAGGTTTTGCTGCTACCTTTGTTTTCGATTTGACTTGGATTCTTCAAAAAAATTCCGCTTTTAGCGTTTCGGTCTGTTAACCCCCTTTGAGCTTCACATGATTCTATTAGACAAGGAAACCATCCAAGCAGGTAGCGGCTATGGACATTCCAATCAGTAGAGGCCAATTCCCCAGAATTTCCCGATTCCGAGGCTAAAGAGGCTCTAGAGGACCTTTATGGCCCGGCCTTCCCCGTATCAACGCGGGCAGCTCTGACATCAGTCCCGCGTCAGCCCGATCAGTTCTCCGGGGATACTCGGGTACAGGCGTCTGAGGTACTACTTTCATAGAGGTACCTAGGAAAAAAAGTGATTGCATCATGCTTCGAGCAAGTACCTTATTCCGTCGAATACATCATCGGGAGGTACCTGGGTTGCTACGGTTGCGACCTCTTCACCGGCCTGCCCCACCAAAACTGACCCCTCCACTCTTTACTGATCGCGACTCACCGTGGCCTGATTAGTTCTTTCTCCTTCTTCTATCCCTTTTCTTGCTTCTTTCACCATTGTCATACCATTAACTACCCACAATGTCTCTCTCCAACAAGCTCCCCGTTACTGATGTCGACCTCAAGGGCAAGCGTGTCTTGATCCGGGTAAGCTTCCAATTGAGCTTCATTACTTGCAGCCCCTAACCATTGACTGAAATAGGTTGACTTCAATGTCCCCCTCGATGAGAACAAGAACGTTACCAACCCCCAGCGTATCGTCGGTGCCCTGCCCACCATCAAGTATGCCATCGACAACGGTGCCAAGGCCGTTGTGCTCATGTCCCACCTGGGTCGCCCCGATGGCAAGGTCAACCCCAAGTACAGCTTGAAGCCCGTTGTTCCCGTGCTTGAGGAGCTCCTCGGCAAGAGCGTCACTTTCACGGAGGACTGCGTTGGCCCCCAGACCGAGGAGACCGTGAACAAGGCTTCCGATGGCCAGGTCATTCTGCTCGAGAACCTGCGTTTCCACGCCGAGGAGGAGGGCAGCTCCAAGGATGCCGAGGGCAAGAAGGTCAAGGCCGACAAGGCCGATGTTGATGCGTTCCGCAAGGGCCTCACTGCCCTCGGTGACGTTTACGTCAGTATGTAACATCACGATAACGTTCCGATTCACTGTCGTTCTTTATTTCTAACATCAATTCAGACGATGCTTTCGGTACCGCACACCGCGCTCACAGCTCCATGGTCGGCGTGGACCTCCCCCAGAAGGCTGCCGGTTTCCTCGTGAAGAAGGAGCTGGAGTACTTCGCCAAGGCTCTTGAGAGCCCTGCCCGCCCCTTCCTTGCCATCCTCGGCGGTGCTAAGGTGTCTGACAAGATCCAGCTGATTGACAACCTCCTGCCCAAGGTCAACAGCCTCATCATCACCGGTGGCATGGCCTTCACCTTCAAGAAGACCCTCGAGAACGTCAAGATCGGCAACAGTCTCTTCGATGAGGCCGGCAGCAAGATCGTCGGCGAGATCGTCGAGAAGGCCAAGAAGTACAACGTCGAGATCGTCCTCCCCGTTGACTACGTCACCGCCGACAAGTTCTCCGCCGATGCCACCGTTGGTGCCGCCACCGACGCCAGCGGTATCCCCGACGGCTTCATGGGTCTCGATGTTGGCCCCGAGAGTGTCAAGCTCTACCAGAAGACGATCGCCGAGGCCAAGACCATCCTCTGGAACGGTCCCCCTGGTGTCTTCGAGCTCAAGCCTTTCGCCAAGGCCACCGAGGCTACCCTCGATGCCGCTGTCAAGGCTGCTGAATCCGGTTCCATTGTCATCATTGGTGGTGGTGATACCGCTACCGTGGCCGCCAAGTACAAGGCCGAGGACAAGATCTCCCATGTCTCGACCGGTGGCGGTGCCTCGCTCGAGCTCCTCGAGGGCAAGGAGCTGCCCGGTGTTGCTGCTCTGTCCAGTAAGTAAATGATGAAAAATAGGCGGCGGAAGGAGTCTACATCGGCTCTTCTTCCGCCCTGCATGTTTATGAAACTGTAATGTACACAGCCAATGAATTTCCTTTAATTACAAGCACTTGTCTTTTTTAAGAAGACCTCGATATGCTCTTAGATCGGATAACTAAGTGTTGTGCCCAGGTACAAAACCGAAGCTTTAGTCGCAATATCAAGAGATCCCCCTGGACATTTTTCGTGTATATAGACGAGAGGAAATCCCTACGAGCAATAAATAAGATAACAACCCCAGTGGCATGTAGATGAGATATGGCAATCCCATTCCATTCACAACTCCATTTCGCAATCCGACTGATACTTCTGTTCATCCTTCTACAAAATACCATGTTTAGGCTTGCACAGAATCAGAAGCTTTGATATTGGCTGAATACCAAAGCGAACATCATGATAGTAAACCCGAAGGCAAGATCTGCACTCCGAGTAATGAATCGTAAAAAGTCAAAAGGACCGTGTCTCATTTCCTCCCCAACAAGCTCCCGACAAATGCATGCGGCAATTATGGTTCTGAATCCTCCCATTGGTTCCAAAGACAGGGGGGTATAGTGTGCGAGATGAAATGGCCAGCCAACTCGATAATGAACCCATCCCGAAACCCGACGCGGGGGGTTTATTTCTTTTTGGTGCGCTTGTCCAGGTTCGTCTTTAAGCCGATGCTTCGACTTTCTTCAATTCTTCCCTGGATGAGGTGATGGATGTTAGTGGGTGCGGTGAAGGAGGGGAAGCTGACAGCTTTGGCGGGGAAGTGGCAAGGGAGGGTGCAAGCATCGGTGGCGGTGTGGATATAGATATTGAAATGAATGAATCTCCAGATAAGGAACATAGCATAAAGGGTATTTGAAGTGTGGGAAGTGTAGGAAAGGCGAACTCACTTGAGCTGCTTTGAGAAGTCCTCTGCCGCATCATCGTCATCCCAGCTCTCTTCCCACAGGTGCTCGCTACCGTCGTTTGCTTTCGAGCCGTTGGTCTGCTCGGCTTCTTCTTGGGGCCAGTCTGGGTATTGTAGGGTTAGCTTCGTTGTTCCGGGGGAGTGCTTGTATGTCTGGTCGATACCTTCAACGGGGAAATCCTCGAACTCGTCGTCTTCCTCCAAGACTTGGGGTTTCGCTTGGGGCGGGGCCTGCTCTGGGGCATCGGCCTTCTGGGTAGTTGGGTTTGACATTGTGGAAAATGTAATAGATCGGGAGGATCAAAGGTAGATAGGTGGAGATGTGGACGGTGGATGTGGCAGCTTTGAGGTCGGAGGTCGGAGGTTTGACTTAGTAAGACCGCGATAAGGCGATAAGGATGATGTAGTTGGGGGACAAGTTGGGAAACAGTAGAGCGTTGGGATTTAAATGAAAGGAAATTGGTAAAACGAATAATGATATTGAGGAAGGGAATGGATGAGGCTAATATACAGTAAAGTAATTCAAAATACCCAGATCGATATGGAATTGGCCTTCTATCAAAGAAAAGAGTTGCCCACGCGCGGAGTTGCCGGCAAAAAGAATCCATGGGATGAGAGCCTCAGCCCCAGACGTGTTGTTATATTACTTCTTCCCCTCCCCCGTAATCTTTTCCCTCTCTTCCCCTCCACTTCTTTTCTTTGTGTTTTCCCTTTTCTCTTTGCTATTCTCTCCTATGGGTGATGTTCTCGTCCATCGGGTTTCCGCTATCGCACAGTTGGCATATTGACATTCTTCCCGATCCGGCGCTCTCTATTTTCGGCCTGGTCGGATTGCCCTGAACTGAGCCCATCGTGGATTTTGTCCCCATTGAAAAATTCTTTCTTCATAGTCACTGCCAGCGGTTTCCGCCATGTTACGAGTCGGGTCCTGGTTGTACGGCAAGAAGCCGGCACAGTCTGTGGACTCGCAGGTTGAGTTGAAAGACTGTGAGTTATGCGATATACTCTAGAAAAGCCAATAGTGATCATTTGATTGGATGCTGACCGTGATATTCGTGCCAGTGCATGATGCGATGACAGGTATGCGCCTATGGGAAATGTGCGACCTCGGGACCTTCAAGCACTGACTAATGCCATTCCCAACTAGCGGCGACGCTGATTCTCAACGATGATGTTGATGGGGCCGAGAATGGTCTTTCCACGGGCAATTCGTCTTTCCACAACGTGGGTGATCGTCACTATAAGCTATGACGTAGCACATACCTTAAGGAAATTTGCTGATCCTCGAGCGAATAGCTGGGTAAAGGCGTGGTCGCATTCGTCCGGGCAACATTAGGCTTCGAGCAGGAGATTATGCGACAAGGTCGATGCTCTTTTTATCTTCTAAATCTACTGTTTCTGACAATCCCGCAGCATCCGAACGTCTTTATGAAGCAGAAACCAGCGCGGCCAGCGACCAAACGCGGTCCCAGCAAAACGCCCAAGCGCCCAATGCCTTCCATTCCGATATCTATGCTGCCGGTACCGAATATGTCTTGTGTCAAGCAATCGCACAATTGATGAATGCGGTTGTTGGGGTGTTGAATGAGAGCCTGACTGAAAGTATCAAAGCATTCTATCGGCTGAGAAAGGCGTATATCGCACTGGACGCTATCATGAAGATGGAAGAGAAGTTTATGGAGCAGAGAGATATTCACAAAGGCACACTGCCCACTACGAGTGACCTGTCAAGCTCGGAATCGTCCAGTCTGTCTTCTAAAAAAGGCACAAAAGGGGCTACCGTCGAGCAAACCGAGCTCAGTTCATCAATGAATGGACTGGCGATCTCGTCCCGAGGGGTGTCACCAGATGCCTCAACCGGCACTTCCACACCCGCGAAGCATATCCACCACGACCCTGACTCGGACATATTCAAAAACGAAATCGATGTCTTTGTGCACTCTGGTGCCAATTTCTGTTTTGGTATCCTTCTTCTACTGATCTCTATGGTTCCACCGGCATTTAGCAAGCTTCTTTCCATTATCGGCTTCCACGGCGACAAGCAACGTGGGCTGAAAATGCTCTGGCAAGCCAGCAAGTTCCACAACCTCATCGGTGCCATGGCTGCTCTTGCACTGCTAGGATATTACAATGGCTTTGTCCGCTACTGCGATATTATGCCCGACCCAACTCCTGGCGAAGCCGACGTCGAGGGATACCCACAGGAGAGGCTGGCTGCGTTGCTGGCGGAGATGCGGTCCCGGTTCCCCAACAGTCAGCTTTGGCTGCTTGAAGAATCACGGATGTTAGGTGCGAATAAGGACCTGGACAGCGCTCTGGATCTGTTGTCCACGGGCAAAAAGAGCCCGCTCAAGCAAGTTGAGGGGTTGTGCGTGTTCGAAAAGAGCCTGAACGCACTGTTTCTCCACAGATATGACGCCTGCGCTGAAGCATTCCTCGAGGTAAAACTTTTTCTCCGGAGATTTTGAAACATCAAGCTAACCCTTTCAGTGCGTGGACCTTAATTCGTGGTCTCGTTCGTTGTATTACTACATCGCCGGAGCGTGCCACGTTGTCCAGTACCGGCAATCACTCAACGATCCAAAGCTTGCGGAGGAGCATGCTAAGAAAGCCACACTGTACATGCGGAAGGCCCCCGAATTCGCCGGGAAAAAGAAATTCATGGCCCGACAGCTGCCGTTCGATATCTTTGTGACTCGGAAACTTGCCAAATGGGAAGCGCGCGCTAAGGAATGGAACGTATCTCTGGTAGATGCGATTGGAGTGGACCCCGTCGAAGAAATGATCTTCTTCTGGAACGGACACAGTCGCATGACCAACGAGCAGCTGCAAGAGTCCCTGACCCGGCTGGAATGGTGCGAAAGCGAAAACAACAAGACCTGGTCTCGCGAGGGAACGGAAGAAAAGGCCATCCTGGAGCTTCTCCGGGCTGCCGTTTTACGATCCCTGTACCGACACGATGAGGCGAAAAAGATCCTGCAGACCCGCGTCTTGAACCACGACAAGTCTGTATTCAAGGGCCACCTGAAGGATGACTGGGTCCACCCAGCGGCACATTTTGAGATGGCAGCCAACTTCTGGATGGAGCGTCCCGCATACCAGGCCCTGCATGGGATTGCTTCCCCCAAGGTGTCGGATGAAGCATCCGCGGGATCTGGGGAGACGAACACGGAGAGCGAGAGAAAGCAGGTATCCGAGTGCAAGGAATACCTCGATCATGCTGCTCGCTGGGAGAGTTACGAGCTGGACGCTCGTATTGGACTCAAGGTTACTGCGGCGATGGAAGCCGTTCACAAGTGGGAGAGCATGCACCCGACAGTCTAATGACGATTATTTTGTGTTTCAGTCCTTGGGCACGGTCTCTGTTCATAGCCCTGAAGGTTTTGTGTAACATGAATGCATAGAGTACAAGTAGATGTTAGGGTTAGATGTTTAACGAAGTTCTTTTTATGTCTTATATCTTTTTTCCTCTCAGGTCAGATAACTCAAACTCAACCTCCGTCATGTCTACAAGAGTAGCGCGAATGTCATTGGCTCAGACCCCGATAGAGCCAGGCGTTCAACTTCTGTTCGGCGCGATGGCGACCAAGGCCGAGCCATTTCCCTGTATCCCCCCCCGGGATCGGAAGGATAAGCCTCGGGGTTTGAATGGCGATGCCGAAAGGAAGGAAGTCCATTGGGGTATCCCGAAACCCCCATTGGGCACATAACGGGATTCCAGCCCTTGAGCTCTCGGATAACACGGCTTGTCCCATCGGAGGTCCGAAAAAAAATAAAAATGGCGAAGAATAAAAAGAATCCAAATCCCCAGAATGTCAAAGATTATCTCTCAGCCTTACAGTTCCTGTTAAGAATTCTTCCGTCATATCCCTCTTATCTCCGAGCTTGATTTTTTGCCACGGACTTTCCCGTAAATCGACTTCATATATCCTCATCTCTCATACCTTCCCCAGCATTAGTGCTGGTCCTGCGACATTCCGATGAATTGTCGATAATGGTTGAACGGACAGAACATGACTACCGCAATTCCGAAGAGATTGAACCGCATCGCAACGGGGATGAAATCGCAGCTTTGGAAAAGCAAAGTACCGCGGCATCGGGGTATTCGGCCTTTGAACAGCGCACGCAGTCAATAGTATCGCGCATTCGGAGTCGAGAGCCCGGCCAGACGGCGAAATTCTATCATCCACTTACCCACAGCAAGACAAGTCCCGATGTCATTGTCGATTTTGATGGGCCGGATGATCCGTACAGACCGTTGAATTGGGGTTTCAAGAAAAAGGCTATCACGACGGTGTTGTATGGATTAACTACTATGGGTATGTACGCACGGGGAAATGGTCGGGAGTAACGCTAATTATCAATTGCAGGCTCGACGTGGGCCAGTTCAATGTATGTCTATTTCATTTTGCTTTAAGCTGCGCGGTTTTTATGCATTATTAACCTAATCACACTGCCAGCTACTCCACTGGTCAGATACAGATTAGCCAGGAGTTCGGCATCTCGAATGAGGTCGCTACACTCGGCACCTCATTACTTTTGTTCGGCTTGGGATTGGGCCCGTTGATCTGGGCACCTCTGTCTGAGCTCTATGGACGCAAAACGGCAGTTCTACCGCCATACTTTCTCGCGGCGATCTTTTCCTTCGCAACAGCCACCGCAAAAGACGTGCAGACTATTATGATCACTAGATTCTTCACGGGCTTTTTCGGCTCGGCACCTGTTACCAACACCGGCGGAGTCCTGAGTGATATCTGGAGCCCCGAAGAGCGTGGCGCCGCCATTGTCGGCTACGCCATGGCCGTAGTGGGCGGGCCTGTCATCGGGCCTATCGCAGGTGGTGCCATCGTGCAGAGCTATCTGGGCTGGCGCTGGACTGAATATGTGAGTTCTTCCATGCGTGGAGGTCGAAACCCATGCTAATACCTACTAGATCACCGGTATCATGATGATGTTCTTCCTAACCATGGACCTCCTCTTCGTCGACGAGAGCTACCCACCAGTTCTGCTGGTCTACAAGGCCCGCCGACTCCGCTTCGAAAGCGGCAACTGGGCCCTCCATGCACGCCACGAAGAATGGGACGTGACTCTCAAAGAAATAGGTAACAAGTACCTCGTCCGTCCCTTCCAACTCCTCGCAACCCCAATCTGCTTCCTCGTCGCCCTCTACGCATCTTTCGTCTACGGTATCCTCTATCTCAGTCTAGCGGCCTTCCCAATCGTCTTCCAGGAACTCCGCGGCTGGAACCAAGTCGTCGGCGCCCTCCCTTTCCTCGCCTACCTAGTCGGAATCCTAATGGGTGGAGGTATCAACCTCGCCAACCAGAAATTCTACATAAAGCGCTTCAAAGCGAACAACAACCGCGCCGTCCCAGAAGCCCGTCTCCCGCCTATGATGATCGGCTCTGTTCTCTTCGCTGGTGGGATGTTCGTTTTCGGCTGGACAAGCCCGAAACACATCCACTGGATCTGTCCGAATATCGGTGCTGTCATGATGGGCTTGGGCTTTTTCACTATCTTCCAGGCTGCTCTCAACTACCTCATTGATACATTCCAGAAATACTCTGCTAGTGCGATCGCGGCAAATACTTTCCTGCGCTCGATGTTCGCGGGCTGTTTCCCGCTCTTCACAGCTGCCATGTTTCATAATCTTGGTGTTCCGTGGGCTGCTAGTGTGCTGGGCTTCATCTCTGTTGCTCTCATTCCCATTCCGTATTTGTTCTATAAGTTCGGGAAGCGGATTCGAGCGCGCGGGACGTGGTCGCGAGACTCGGTTTAAAATTCGTCATAATTATTCTATATGGTGTTACTGTACATGTTTTCTACTACTGGGTTATGAGCACATTTGATGACGACCTGGTTTCTGTTTTGGCACGTCCATCCCTTGCATTTATACCCTCGATGTTTCAGCGTCTCAGGTTGAGTCATATTATTTCCTAGAAGGTATGATATGAGGATCTGGTCTTAAAATTTTACTTTCCTTTCCTACAGGGAGAATATTCAATAGGCAAGTTTCCGCGTATTAGAGTATAACAAAGAAGCAGCAAGCACAAAAATAGCAGAGTAAACAGGGAAAGAGATGTGGACAGACATAAAGAGAGAATATAGTGAGTAAAGACAATTGAATGCCATATGTACCCAATCCAAAGCCATAAAGCCAAAGCCGTACAAAGACCATAATACAAAACGTGCAACATTAACATGCAGAGACATAAGGAATAACAAAAGGAAAGCGAGTTTTTTTTGGTGGGTTTTGTCTAGCCTTTCGAGACCAGCACCTGTTTTTGTTTTTGCTTTTTTTTTTTGCTTTTCTCTATTTTCTTCGCGGATTCGACCTTGATCATGAGATCAAGCTCGGCTGGTGACCGTGTTTCGCCCAGTCAACTTTCTCGCTATGGTCATGGCCTTGGACCATGTCTTCTTCTTTTCGATGCGACCGACAGGATCAGGCGGTGCAGCACCGGTAGCAAGAAGCTCTGTTGGCATATCCTCCTGGTGCTTGGCGTTATGCAAAGCCAGCACGGCCATTTGGCCTAGGAAAGTCGGGTGTTCGATAAGATCCTCCAATCGAACCTTGAGACCCTCTTGTTCAAGAAGCCAGGTAAGCTGGGCTAGATTGAAGACGTCACCGCCGAGATCAAAGAAGGACGAGTCCAACTGGAAGGCGGATTGATGGGTGGGTTTGTCCGCTTCTGGGTCGACGGGGCCGGTCGTGGTGCGGCTGGGCAGGACCTGGTGCCACGAGCGAGACAGAATGTCTGAATGCACGAGCAGCTCTGCGATGGAGCGCGATTTGAGATGTGCGCTGAGGAAGTGCTCGTCTGATGGTCGGGGTAGATCGTCGATTGTCTGCGGTGGCAGAGAGCGTAGCATGCTCGCGGAGGGTAGGGAGTTGGTTGGGTTGGCGACGAGGGATTGTGCAATCTCACAGGCCATGTCGAGAACCTTGGATGCGAATGATGGCATCACAGGGCCCTTTTCGGAGTAGCCGAGGGTGACATCGAGGCCTCGTTCCCCGGAGGGACGGGATACCATGGTGAGATCGGCTAGGTTGTCATTGACGCCGACACCACCCATGCGGTACTTGTTGTTATCGAGCTGCATGCTTCCTTCGTAGTCGACGTTCTGGTGGAAGACTGAGGTGGTAAAGTAGGTCCAATCGGGCCAGTCAGTGCATTGCTTGATGATCTCGCGGAAGCCCAGGGACTCGAAAGGCATGTTGGAGACCTGTTGGTCCTGGAGGTAGCGGAATAGGTCGACACCGGTCCATTTCTCGTCGAACTTCACGCGGACCGGGATGACATTGACACAGGGGCCAACGGTGCTCTCGATACCTGGCACCGTGGCGTTGCGGCCGCTGATAGTCAGACCAAAGATAACATCAGACTGAGCAGAGAGCTTGGCAAGGGCCAGGGCCCAGGCAGCCTGCATGACAGTTGCGATAGTGACATTTCCAAGGGCAGTGGGCGAGATCTCAATCTTTCTGTGGATCTCTGTGAATGCTCCAACGTTCTGGAACATGTTGGTACCGCTTCTGCGGACAACTTGGGTCATGTGAGAGCCCTTGAGAAGGTCCGTCCAGTGGCGGTAATGGTCTGGAGTGATTGTTCCTGGCAACTGTCGCAAGTAACCAGCGAAGGGGGTAACCGGAGGCAGCGGGGTGCCTTCATATCCGTGCTTAATGGCAGCCATGATCTTTGGCAAGCACACTCCATCATACTGAGTGTGTGAGAGGCGGATCATGATACGGTGCTGGTCGCTGTTCTTCTTCTTGACAACGTAGAACTGCACGTACTGCTCGCCTTCGCGCGGTCCGTATTCGCGATCTCTCTGTTGAAGGGTCATGGTGAATTCATCAAGAGCGCGGTCGGTCTCATAAACGAAAATGCTGGGACGGATCTTGCGCAGCACGACCTGGAAGAACTGGTCATGGAAGCACACAAATACTGTGCGCAGAATATCAAATGCAGCGACAACCTTCAAGCAACTCTCACGAAGGCGTCTCAGGTCCAGTGGACCGTTGCCCTCAAGATAGAAGTAGTTAAGCATCCATCGAGATTTGAAGAGAGTCGCCGTAAGAGACATCGCCTGGAAGTCAGTGACAGGGAGTACATCGGCGATGCCACCCTTGAATACACCAACCTTGGGACAGATACCGCTCTGCACCGCGGCATCGTCGACGCACGATGGCTTGAGAACCTCGAGGCTCTCGGTAGAGGGGCTGGGCCCCAGTGTTGTCGGGGTGATATTGAGCAAATCACTGTCAGCCTCCTTGTGGCCGCCTGACTTGAGATCGGCATTCAGCATCTGCTGAGTGACATTGGCGGCTCGCACTGTTGTCAGCATGTCCTCGAAGACAGGATTGTTGAAGACATCTGCAACAGTAAGGACCAGGCCCTCTTCGCGAGCAGCACTGACCATCTTCATGGCGGTGATGCTGTCACCGCCCAACTTGAAGAAGCTGTCCTGGTGTCTCACCACGTTAGGTGAGAGGCCAAGAGCTGTGCTCCAAAGATTCCACAATTTCCTTTCCACATCGACCGACATCCCATCCTCGCTGGAACGGGAAGTCGCCGAACAAACACCCGAATCATCTGCTCCTTGTATACCTAACTGGTACGGTGAGTCGGCTATGGTATCAGTGTGACCACCATAGCTTGACAACCCTTCTGTGCGAATGGGAGGCACCGTCAGTTTTCCTTCTCTCAACATCTGACCAATAATCTCATGAACACGATCATCAATAATTTTCTGCATAGCACTGCTGTCAATTGCCTCTCCAGTCGACTTTGCCTTGTCTGCCAGTGTGGTTTGGGAGCGATCCCAATCCACTGACTCAGGTTCAGCCTCAGAAGCGAATGTGGACTGCGACAGGGTCGCAGCCGGGGACTCAATGAAGCCAGTAAACACCTTGGCGATGGTGTCAGCCAGACTCTGTGCCTCCTCGTCAGACACAATATCATTCCAGTATCTCAAAAGAATACCCTCCTGGCCTCGGGCAATCTCAACGTTCACAGTGACCGCGTACTGGATTTAGTTAGCAGTTGAACCGAAGCATTGATAGGACGGATACTCACCTCGCTCGGGTCATGTGCATGTTGAAGATCGAAGGACAGTCCTTTGTCCTTGGGGCCACCCGCAACGGAGTGGTTCTGGATCGACAAGGTAGTATTGAACAGGGACTGTCCCTGCCAACCAAGCTCATGCTGAATGCTCGCCAAAGAGCAGCTTTGGTGGGGAATGCATCGAATATAATCATCTTGAACATTCTTGGACACGTCCGTCAGGGTCTGCTGATCGGAGAACTGGACTCGGCAGCAAAGCATGTTAATAAAGATTCCAACCATGTCCTGAATACCATTGACAGGGGCATCGCGACCGGCAGAGAGATATCCGAAACAAACGTCATCGGAGCCAGTGAACTGTCGCAAGACGATGGCCCACGCGGAAAGGGTCAAGTTGGCGAGAGTCACCGAGCTTCGTTCACAGAACTTGAGCAACTCAGGGAATCGCTGGAAGTTCATCATGACACCCTTGAGTTCCCTCTTGGCTTCGAACACAGCTGATGGGGCGAGGTGACATGGGTGAACTCCGCCGAGGTATTCCTTCCAGTGACTGAGAGCGTCACTATGGCTTTGAGTCCTGATGAACTTGATGTAGTCGCTGAAGAGAGGTCCTGAACCCTCGGCGATCTTACGCTCGTAGGCGAGAGTCAGGTCACGGAGAAGTACATCCACCGAGCCACCATCGATGATGGCATGGTTCATCTCCAGCTTGAGGATTACACGTCCGGTGTTCGTTTTGCAAACTGTCAATTGGTGAGAAAGCTTTGCTTGGCGCATTGCGTTCCTGTCACGGAGAGAGATAGCAGCCAACTTCTCCTCAACCTGGGAGTCCTGGCATTGCACGCGTAGGATATTGTCGGAAAGATTCTTGAGCACCAGTTGGTCAAAGGATCCGCCCGTGTAGTTGCTGTCGACGAAAATAGTTCGGAGCACAGGATGACGGTCGACAAGGGCTTGCCAAGCGCGGGCAACTCCCTCAGCGTCGACCTTGCCAGATTTGCCATCCTTGATCTCAAACACAGTATGGAACATGTACGCATTGGGATCGCGGAGCTGGCTGAGCAAGAGGCCCTCCTGCATCGGAGAGCAGGGATATATGTCCTCGACGTCGTCCTTGTCCCGAATGCCGGCCCTGCGGAAGGTGCTCGCAGTGAGCATCTGGAGGCCGTGATAGTTAATTGGGAGGAGGGGTAGTCACTGAGAGTGGGCTCTGGAGTGGCCGTTTTCAGGGTGAGGATATCCTTGTCAAGGGTCTGCTTGCACTGGAGAATCCAGCGGCGAATAGAGCCCTGATGCTGCATTTTGTGGTTGTAGGTGAAGGCAACATTGAGGCGTTCTTTGATGACAATGGCGGATACTTCGAAGAGGGCGAAACGAGCAGTCTGGGGACCCATGTCACCTGCGACGGCAAAGTCCGAGCTGTCAAAGACGCTACCATGGTGATGGAATAGCGAATCAGCTCGCTCGAGTTGCTGCATTTTACCCAGGTAATTGAACAGGATTTCCAACGGGACAGGGAAATCAGCACCCTGGTCTTGAAGCAGGTTTTTGGCGAAGTAAGGACGTCCATTGTCTGCTATCTTCCTCCTGGTGTCTTTGACACGCTTGATAATGTCGTTGAGGGCACCTTGTTGTGTCAGCTGTCTGTCGACAAGATGAGGCATGGGAAACTTACGAGCTTCGGAATCCACTAGCAAAGGGGCCATTGTGGTAAACCAGCCAACTGTTCTGGAAAGATCAATGTCGGCTTCCCAGGGTTCTCTGCCATGTCCTTCGTTGTAAATAGTCGGCACCTTGCGATCAGTGAAGGTCCGAGCGAAGGAATAAATGATGGCAGACAGCAAAATGTCGACAGTGTCAGTCCGGAAGACGCTGTGGCAGCCATCCAGGATGAATTTGGTAGTATCCTCACTCAACATGAAAGATTCCATCTTGATGTCTCCGTAAACATTGGGTGAACCTTGCATGCCCCAGTAAGGCAAGTTCGGCTTCTCAGGAGTGAAAGGCAGAGAGATAGTCGCATCGTGTGTTTTGGCTCTCTCGGTCTGCATGGCACACCAGCTTTGGAAGGACAATGCCTTGTCGAGTGAAAGAGATCCAGAGACAACGAGCTCTTCGAGGTCCTGGAGCACGATGCGCCATGATACCATGTCAATGCAGAGATGGTGAGCGACGAGGAATAAGACCTGACCACCTGTGCGAAGGTTAAACAAATCGGCTGCAAGAATAGGTCCATTGAGAGGATCGAGGCAATTTTGACTCTCAGCAATCTTTGGAACCATCCCACGGGTATCGCCCACAGAGTGAACGCGGAATCGGAAAGATTCATCGACCTCCTGTGAGGCTGAGTTAAAAAATGTTCGATTAGGGATTTGTAGGGAGCTTACCGCTGCAGTTTTCTGTTGCCAAGTGCCGTCACTAGATGTGCTGAAGCGCGCGCGGAACATGGCATGCTGGCCAATAACAGCCTTGACGGCGCGCTTGAGGACCTCACCCTCACAACGACGAGCGATGCGGACAGTCATGCTCTGGTTGAAGCGAGCGGCGCCCTTGAACGAGTCCGAGCTCTGGAAGTAGAGCCTTTGGACAGGAGAAAGTGCGAAACCTTCACCGGACTTCTCTTCGCGCTGTGAAACAGGTGCCTTGGAGCCGGCTGTTTGAGCAAGTTCCTTCAGTGATCTGCTCTGCAAAATGTCGTGTAGTGTCAGGATAAGGCCTTGTTTGCGAGCGCGAGAAATGACAGCCATTCCAGTGATGCTGTCGCCGCCTGTGAGAACTGGTTAGTATGTTCACTGCTTTGGAATGATGGGATACTTACCCAAACTGACAAAGGAGCGGTCGACGTTGACTTTCTGTAGGGAGATATTCAACACCTGTGCAAATATTTCGCGGATGATGCTGAGCGATCCATTCTTCTCTTCCTTTTCTTGCGGCTTCTCCTCGATCTTGCCACGCTTGATGCGATCGTAATCGGCCATGATACGCTCGTAGGATGCATCATCAATATCCTCTACCCAGGCGGTGATCTTCTTCCGGTCGAGCTTTCCGGAAACGAGCATGGGAAGCTTCTTGATGAGAGCCCAAGTCTGCGGAACCATGTAAATGGGCAGCTGGTTCTCAAGATTCTGCTGGACTTCGACCAGCTCGTTGTAAGCATGGCGCTCAAGTTCATTCTCATCAACAAGCTCACAAGGCTTGTCAGAAATAAGCTTGGTATCAGCAGCCACACTGTTCAAAGACATCACAGTGACCAGGCGCTGCTTAAGCGGGCCGTTCTTGGGGAGCACGACGACAGCATGGCGGGTAAGAGCATCTTCAGAAAGGCGATGCTCGATCTCACCAAGCTCCATCCGCTGGCCATGCAATTTGACCTGGTGATCCTTCCGGCTGATGTACTGAATTGATCCATCAGGGTTGTAGTAGCAAAGATCCCCAGTCTTGTATATTCGGCGAGGACCGGGGACCGCAGGCGTGAAGTCCTTGATCCAGGCAGGGTCCGAAGTGAATGCTTCTGCGTTTTTCTCGGGGTTTTTGAGGTACTCTCTGGCCAACGGAGCACCTTCAAGTGCAAGTTCACCGACTGCGCCCAGAGGAGTCAGCCGATCATGGTTGTCGGGGTCAACAATCCAGGTGAGAGTGCTGGGAATACCGTATCCGATACGCCCGGGATCACGGTTGGTGGCCACTGCATTGTCGATAACAGCAAACACACAGGTTTCGGTCGGCCCGTACCCGTTCATGAGGTGAACAGAATTGGCCCACTTGGTGATGACTTCATTGGACATCTTCTCACCACCACAGACGAGGTGCTTGAGGGAAGGCACCGAAGATGGCTCAATGATGCTTGCAATCGAAGGGGTGAGGAACGTCCAGGTAACATTAAGTCGACGAATTGCGCCCGCAACATCGTTGAGACGGTCGTCTTCGCTGGGCACACAGATGGTACCTCCGAGCATTAGAATCGCAAGAGTCTCCATAACAGCAGCATCAAAAGTGAGGGAAGCGAATTGGAATACTCTTGAGGTCTCATCCATGCGTACCCACGGCGCGAATGCCATGATACTGCTGACCACGTTGCGGTGCTCGACAATAATTCCCTTGGCCCGACCGGTGCTCCCAGACGTAAACAGAGCGTAAGCCATGTTTGTGGGTTCGACTTCAGTTCGGCGACGGGAAGATGACTTGAGTGCGCCATAGGCCTTGATCGTTTCCTTGCTGATGGGGATAACAGTCTTCACAACTCGGCTGTAGCGGTTTGTATAATTGGGGGTACATAGTATCATGTTGGCGCCGACGTCGGCGAGGATTTCCTCGTGTCGCGAGGTAGGGTGGGAGGGATCCAGAGGCACGTACCCACCACCAGCGATGAGAATACTGATGAGGGTGACCATTGCCCAAGCTGACTTGTCCAGGCAGACTGGAACAAACACTTCTGGGCCAACTCCGCGAGAGACCAGGTAGTTGGCAAAGCCAGAGGCCAGGTTCCAGAATTCTCTGTAGGTGATGTCGCCATCCCAGGCACATACAGCCTGGGCATTCGGAGTCTCCTCGGACTTCTCACGAATGAAATCTTGGACGGTCCGTACCACTGTGAGGGGAACGCGTTCGTTCCATGTACCAATTTCAGCCTTGTCCTTGGGGCTCACGACCTCCAAATCTCCGAGCTTGCTCGTGCTGTTCTTAGGCAAGGCAATCAACTGCTGCAGAACATGTGCAAATTGTTCGGTAAGTCGCTTGGTGTGCCATCCGCTGATGACAAGCTCATCATGGTGAACAGTGAACGAGATGCTTGTCTTCGTGACTCCACATTCCACAACAAGGGGGTGAGTGAAGAAGTCTTCGCTTGTTTCACGTTTCTCGTCGATCCAGATCTTGTTGTCGAGCTCGCCATCGCCGGGCTGGATTACAAGCAAGTTTTGGAAATTGCAACCCTCGGAGGTATCCTTGTTCAGTTGTCGGATACGTTGAAGACCAGAGTGCAAGTGTGGGATCATCTCGGTGGTCGACTGGTGGATCTTCTGCAAGTACTGCATAGTGGACATAGCATTGTCAACCTGGACTCGGGTGGGGACAGTGGTCAGAACAGGACCAGCAATATCTGCAACACCGGGAAGATCGATATTTCTACCCGACAAAGTCTCGCCGAAGCACACATCACCGGAGGCAGTGTGAGTGGCAATGACAATTGCCCATGCAGCGCGCATGAGGACGGGGATGGTAAAGTCGACGCTGTTGCGCGTGCGGGAAAGTTTCATGCTGTGGTACTGGGTGTTGCCAGCACGCATGGCATCAGGCACAGCGTTCTTGTTATGAGGGAAAGGAGTGGTTGACAGATCAGCCAGGTAAGACTTCCAGAAAGCATCAGACTCCTCCATATCCTTCTTCACCAGATAGTCGATGAACAGACTGTAAGGGGTGCCAGCGCGCTTCGGCTGTGAGGCAAAGTAGTTCTCTTCGACCTTGCGGAATACCAGAGGAATACTCCAGCCGTCATAAAGGGCATGGTGAACAGACCACACAAAGTAGCTGTCAGACGAGCCACGGGGGTGCACCATGGCGTAACCAGTGAGAGCTGCTCCATTTTGCTTGGGAAGGTGAAGGAAATCGTTGGGCAGAGAATCGAACGACTCTGCTTCGACCCAGGAGATAGGGCCATCCTTGAGGACAACTTGAGCAAAGTTCATAGCTTCAGTGTGGACAATGCGAGTGCGAAGGATTTCCAAGTCTGCCACCGTTTGTTGCCAGGCCTGTTTGAATTTACCGACATCAATGCCAGCAGCAAGACGGAATGAGGGCTGAGCAACATAAGCACCGTGATGCTTGATAGAGAGCGTGAGAAGACCCTCCTGCACAGCGCTGCATGGGTAGATATCGCTGATGAGGTCCTTGGACACTTCGCAGCTGTCGGTGACTTCATCCATCAGGTTTTCTAGGTAGACTCCAGAGGGCAGCAATGAGAACGCCTTGATATCTTCTTTCTTAACTTCCGCAGGTCCATCAGACACGACGCAGCTCTTGGCCATGTCGACCAATATCGGGGAATTGAAGATGCTCGAGACGGTGAGTGCGATACCTTCTGCTTGAGCAGCGCCGACGAGGTTCATGGCGGACAAGGAATCACCACCCAGACCAAAGAAGCTGTCATCGGCGGTCACAGATCCAGCTTCAAGCTCGAGGGTCTTTTCGACAAGGGCCACAAGCTTGATCTCGAGGCCAGTAGCTGAGGAAATCTCCCGTCTGTCGGAGGTGTTAAGCGTAATGTAAGACTTAAGAGTATCCTTGGATAAGGTCTGGACCATGGCCCGCAATCTTCGGCGGTCAATCTTCCCCGAGGAAGTGAAGGGCAAGTTGCGGATAGGGAAGAAGAGCCGGGGCATCATGCTCTGAGGCAGAAGTTCGGGCAGAGAGCCCTTCAACTTCTGAATGGCATCCATGTTGGACATGGAGATGGGCAGGAGCAGTGGATCGGCTCCAGGGACCGTGGGGGCAAATTGATCGTTGCTGCCGCCGTTGGAATCTGGGTCATGGACCGTGAAGAATGCGGCGAGACCCTTGGCGATGGTCCGTTCCTCGGGAACAACGACATCAACAGCGACCTGAGAGTCTTCAGGTAGGCAGCGGATACATTGTTGTTCGATCTCCTCCAGTTCAATTCGCTGGCCATTGAACTTGATCTGAGTGTCTTTGCGGGAGATGAAAGCCAGACTGCCATCGCTGTTGTAGCGAACAAGATCACCAGTGCGATACATGCGATCAGTTCGCTTGAACACGCCCTGCAAGCCAGAATGACGGTTCCACACAGGATTCTTGAAGAAAGAGGCCTTCGTCTTTTCCTCGTTGGCAAGATATCCACGGGCAATGTTGCTTCCTTCAAGGATCAGCTCGCCGACAGCACCAACAGGCAGCAGACGGTCGGAGTTGTTCGGATCGACAATCCAGACTCTGCAATTTGGAGATGTTCCAATGGATGTGGGATCATCATTGACGCGGTTCCCATCCCAATCAACCTTGACACCAACTGTAGCAACGACAGTGGCCTCGGAGGGACCATAGGCATTGATGACACACCGGTCTGCCCAGCGGTCAATATGGTTGGCGGGCATCTTCTCGCCGCCTGTGATAATGACCTTGAGGCTGGGGACGCTTTTCGGCTCTAGTGTATTGACAATGGCAGGAGGTGCCGAGATGTAGGTGGCTTCCATTCGGCAGATGGCACCACCCAAGTTGTTCATGCGTTCATCCTCGCTGGGGATACAGACACAGCCACCAGTCATGAGAATCATCATGATCTCCAAGATGCTGACGTCAAAGGTGTAGTTAGAGAACTGCAGAGCACGGGTTGTGGAGTTCATGTGCAGGCCGTCGATCATGGCGATCGCGGTGGTGCTAAGGGCAGTATGTTCGACGACAGTTGCCTTCGGCTTCCCGGTAGTACCAGAGGTAAATATAGCATATGCAGCATTGCTTGGAGTAGGACGAGCGCCGGGCAAAGCCAAAGGCGACTCAGGAAGTTGGGAGATTGAAGTCTGGCACACGGCGAATGATTTAGCGGACAGCTTCGAAACCTTGGTGTGGACTGAGGACGAGCACAAGACAAGGTTAGTGCCAATTTCATCAATAAGCATCTTCAGTCGAGAATCGGGGTGGGATGGGTCAATCGAGACGAAGGCTCCACCCGCCTTGAGAACAGCCAGCTGGGCGACTACAGCCCAAGCTGACTTTTCGAAGCACAACACCACAAAGGCTTCAGGCTTGACTCCAAGGCTGGAGAGATGACGAGCCAGGCGACTGGACACAATTTCAAGTTGCCCATAGGTGAAATTCTTGTCCCAAGAGCAGACGGCTTCGGCGCGGGGGTGGAGGAGGGCCTGCTGCTGGATGAGTTCGTCGGCGCACTTCTCCACTCTAGGAGGGGATACGGCATTCCAATCGCGGATTCGGCGAACTGAGCGTTCAGGGAGTATATTGAGGTCCCCTATGGTGCGGTCACGGAGGTTGTGGGCTATCAAATCGTCCAAGACTTGGTCAAACATGTCCATGACATGGCTGACCTGGAAGGAGGAAAGGGTCTCTGAGGAGTAGGTGAAGTGTATCTCGGCGTACGAATGCGAGACTTCAGCTTCAACCAAGATCTTGTAAGCACTGGAGGTGCCTGGCTCCCGGGTACTTCCCTTGGGGAGATTGGAAGCTGTGCGATAAATCAGGGAGGTGTTGAAGAGCGTTGTGTCATCGAGTCCAAGCTGGTGCTTGACTGCATCCAAGGGAGCTACATTCAATGCACTGATCTCAGAGTCCCTCTTTGCTTTTTGGAGAGTCTCTTGCAGCTTTTGCTCGTTCTGGACGAGGAAGCGGCAGGTGGAAACTCCATCGGTCTCCAATTTCATCTCCGAGGCTGCGACGGAATATCCAAAGCAAACATCGTCTGAGCCAGTGTACCACCGGAGAACGACGGCCCAGGCGAACTGGAAGAGAGTTTCCACAGGCAGACCAGACAATCTGCTGAAGGCATGGATGTTGGCCGACTGCTTGTTGAGCGTGCGAATGGAGCGGACATTGGCGGTTGCTTCATGGGAGAGCGCCGGGAAAACGCAGGGCTCAACGTCGGCGAGATACTCCTTCCAGAAAGCGATGTTGGCCCCGGAGAGACTGGCATGTCGTGAAGCCCGGTTACCAGTCTTGGATCCGTTCCAATGCTTAATGTCGAAAGACTCAAGAGCGCTGCTCGAGAGCGCCTGTGTTTCGACTTTGAGGGCCTGGCGGTTTAGCTTTCCAGAGACGGTCAAGGGGAGGGAGGAAATGGGGATGTAGAAACTCGGAACCTTGCTACCAGGAAGACTGGTACTCAGACTAGCGTGCAAGCTAGACATGGCATCTTTCATTCCGGGCGTTGCGGACTGGAGGACGCGCTCCCCATAAGTGACTGGGATGGTGTCTGAAGAGACCACGAAAGCAACAAGGGCATTTGTCTTCATGTCGCCGCGTTGCAGCTGGACGCTTTCCAGAACACACTTATTCTTGTCCAGGAGTGTATCAATGCGCGTCTGAGTTTGAATAAGCTCGCTAGCCAAGGCGGATTGATTCTTATCATTCTTTCGGCCGAGGAAAACGAGGGAGCCATCGGATTTGTACCGAACAAGATCTCCGGTCTTGAAAAGACGGTGTTTACGCCCTCCTCGTTGTCCAGAAAGCCAAGAAGCGTTCTCGAAGAAGTCGCTGGTCTCTACAGACCGGTTGTCGAGGTAGCCCGAGGCAATAACAGGGCCCTCGAGGGCCAATTCTCCAACACTACCAATCGGAACAAGATTGTCGTGGTTGGAGGGGTCAACCACCCACGAAACACAGGACGTACTCTTTCCAATGAGGGCAGGCTCGTGCTCGTCCTGAGAACAGAATACATGGAAGGAGGCCGCCGAGCTCTCGCATGTTCCATACAAAACCTGCAATTGGAGGTCGTCGGTCTTCCAGTGGTCGAGCACGCTCTGGGGCACAACTTCGCCGCCGAGGGCGATCGATCGCAGTCCGGGAACATCCTTGGGGGAGAAGAAGCTTGCGGCTGTTGGGGTGATGCTAGCAACATTAACGTGGAGCGCGTTGATAGAGGCAGCCAAGTTGAGAGGGTCAATGTCAGCGGGAATGCAAATGCAACCACCCCACATGAAAGTGCCGAATGCCTCAACAATAAATGCATCGGATGTATGGGGTGCAAATTGCAGAGTCCTGGACACATCGGCAATTGCCATGGTGGTAGCGAATGCCTCGGCACGGGTCATTACGGTTGAATGGTCAAGGACGACACTCTTAGCCGGGCCAGACGTACCGGCAGTCATAGCGACGTATGCGACGTCTGATGATTGTGCCACGGGGTTGAGAGCCTCGTCCGCGAGATACTCGAGAAGAGACTCGCTTACAGGGATGACGTACGGTACGGCATCCTCGAGGACCTGAGCCTTCTCCGGGGAAGCCAGAGCGACCTGCACGACGTTGTCGACAATCCAGTTCTCAACAACAGCCAGACTCTCGGGTGTGTCAACTGGAATACAGCCACCACCGGCTTTCATTATTGCCAATGTGGAGACTATGTTCCAGATAGACTTCTCGAAGCAGATGGGGATCAGTGTGCCGGGGCCGACACCGAAGGTGACAAGATAGCTTGCCAGGCGAGAGGAGAATTGATCCAACTTGGAGTAAGTCAAGTTGCCATCCCAAGCAGTTACAGCCAGCGCATCAGACCGCTTCTTGGCCATCTCTTGAACGACATGATGAGCACACTTCTCGAAGGGCTTGGGAGTCTTGCTGTTCCACGCCATGATCTGGGCACGGTTATCCTCGCTCAAGTTGTCTAGCTGCCGGATTTCACAGTCAATGTTCGATACAACGTTCTCAAGGCATCGAAGATATGTATTGGCCACATTGGCAGCCTGTGAATCAGAGAGGTTCGTAGTCCAGTAGTTGAGGTCAATGCGAGCCGTGGTGTCCATGGCCTCGAGGTTGATGAATACCGGGAACTCGGCGGGATCGTGAATTGAGCCAACCTCAGCACACTCGATTTCGCTGCTGACAGCATCCTTCGAACTGGGAAGCCGGCGGTAGGAGACACCGGAATTGAACAAATTGGTGTCGGACAGCTTCAAAGCATGCTGGATGTCGATGAGCGAAGTGTGACGGTAAGGAAGGCTTTCCATGTAGTCGTTCTGGATTTGGTGTAGCACATCACTGAGCTTCGAGTCATCGGCAACCTTCATGCGACAGATTAGAAGGTTGATGACTGGTCCAACCACCCACTGGACGCCGTCAGCAGAAACATCACGCAGGGATGCCATGTAACTAAAGGAGACATCGTCGGATCCACAGAAAGCGCGGAGAGTAAGGCCCCATGCGGCATTGAAGACATTTGCGAGAGTGATTCCGCGCTTCTCGCAGACAGATTGGAGATCGTCAAGGGCTCCGAAGTTAACAGGAATGGACCGGAGTGCCTTTGCTGATTGTTGACCGTCAGTGAGGGCGGGGAAGTGGCACGGCTTAGCCTGATCCAAGTACGAACGCCAGTAGTTGATGCTGGCTTCGTTCGGCGCGTCCTGGAGGTACTGGATATAATCCTTGAACAAAGGCTGAGGGCTTTCCTCAAGTCTGCCTGCGTATGCGAGCTGCAAGTCACGGAGGATGATCGAGATCGAGTTACCGTCCATCGCCGCATGACTGAGCTCAATGCGAGCAAACAGTCTGCCAGTGGGTGTCTGGCAAATAGTGAAACGATACGCTGGTTCAGGCTCGCTGTAATCCTTGGGGTCTTCCTTATCGAACGTGGCCAGCACGTCATCGTCCCCTGATGACTGCAGGAAGACAGGAGTAGCATCGTAACCCTTCAGCACGACCTGACAGAAGGGGTCGCGAGGAGTGAGGTTCTCAACGAAGATGGTGCGGAACATCGCATGGTGAGAAACGACCTTCTGCCATGCATTGACCAAGCGATCGAGGTTTGGCTTGCCAGATCCAGTAGCCCGAATTTCGAAGGTGTCGTGGACAGCGTAGTAGGAGCTATCTCGCTTGCGACCAAGTAGGATACCCTGCTGCATGCGAGAACAAGGGTAGATATCCTCAACAAAGTCAGGGGACTCAATACCCATAGCAGGCAATTTTTCATTGAGCAACTTGTCCAAGGTAGGGTAGGTCAACGACAGCATTGGGAACGAGCTGAGAGTCAGACGCGGCTCGAGGGTAGGAAGCTGCTCAGAGAGGGTTACAAGCAGCTCCTGGCATTCGGAAACCCATCGGTGAATACGATTCTGGTGCTGCATGAACTTGTTAAAGGAGAAGTTGAATCGAACCTTTCCAGCCACGACCATCGCAGAGATCTCGAAAAGACCGAAGCGGGGAGTATCTGATCCAAAGTCAGCGGCGCCGCCTCCTTGCCCAGCTTCTCCAGCCATCTGATCAACAAGTTGGAAGAGACCATCCTTCCTCTGTAGATCTCGGTGTTGTCCAACGTAGTTGAATGACATCTCAAAGGGATGAGGGTGCTTGGACCCTTGATTGCCCTCAGCTGGGAGTACACGGCTGGTGAAATCTGCGCGGCCATTGTCCGTGACGCGACGGCGAAGGTCCTTAACCTGGATGAGGGTATCAATGGGGTTGTCTGACTTGTATGCAGAGACAAAAATTGGGTGCAGAATGGTGAACCAGCCAACAGTATGCGAAATATCAATGGACGGGTCCCAGACTTCTCGTCCGTGGCCTTCATTATAGATCGTTGGAAGAGAACGATCGGGGAAAGCGCGGCCAAATGAGTGGAGCATTGCTGCCAGGAATAAGTCAATTGGCTCGGTGCCAAGAGCTTTATGACATTCCAGCAGAATAGCATTGGTATGGGCTGGGTCGATCTCAAACGAGGCACAATCCACATCTCCATACGTAGTTTGAGTGTCTTTGAGCCCCCAGTAACCAAAGTCGGGTACAGCGAGAGCATCAGTTGCAATTTTGTGCTCAGCACGTAGGGTGTTGCAGTGCTCATTCTGCAGGCGGCACCAGGTCTGGAAAGGCAACGAACCATCACTGGTTTCCGTCTTCTCGGGGTTTAGAATGATGTCTTCCAAATCTTCCAGGATAATTCTCCAGGAGACAATGTCCACAACCAAGTGGTGAGCCGTCATTGACAGCACATTAGGCTGCCCCTTCACCAAGAAATAATCCACTGCCAGCAGTGGCCCAGAGAAGCAGTTGATAGAGGATTGGCTGTCGGCGACATGAGTTTCGACCTCGTTCATGTTGCCAAGAGTGTGCATTCGCCATCTGTAAGATCCCTTGATATCGCGAGTAATGTGTTGACTGGACGCCGTGGCGAAACCTGTGTCAGTGAACCGTGCACGGAGCATAGAGTGCCGAAATACCAGCGTTTCGACAGCTTTGCGGAGGGTCCTTTCGTCGACGGGTTTGTTCAAGCGAGTGAGGATTCCTTGATTGAAGTGGCCTTGGCCTTCCTTGCGGACACCAAAGTGAAGGGTCTGGATGGGCGACAGGCTAAAGGGTTCGTCAACAGCTTCTTCGTAAGTCGTAAGGTGATCAATCGTCTTTGCGCGAGTTGCGAGATCGCGAATTGATTTGCTGCGAAGTAGCTCCTGTACAGAGAGGGCAAACCCACGCTTCTTACAGAGACCGATACATGTCATAGCTGCGATCGAATCACCGCCAAGGGCGAGGAAGCTCTCATTCAAATTGAGCTGGTTCTGGGGAATGTTGAGGACACGGCTATATACAGCGGCTAAAGCTTCCTCTCTGTCGTTGGCGGGCTGTGAGGCTTCTGCGTCGACGATTGCAGCGGAGGCACTGCTCTGCAGATCCGGATCGCTCTCCATACCGGCGACCCAAGTGGAAATGCCCTTGCGGTCTAGCTTCCCTGATGGCAGAAGTGGCAGAGCTTCGACACACAACCAAACCGCAGGGACCATGTAAGTAGGGAGGCGAGCTGATAGACGCTCTCGGATGCCGGGGACAAGCTCGGCCTTTTTTCGAGGCAGAGACCAGTCGTAGAGGTTCCAAGTCCGAATCAGACTGTTCCGCAAGCAAGCCAGTGGACGACACAACTGCCGCCAGGCGTCCCTTTGAGAAACCAGTCTTGGGGAAAAAGACAGAGCAATGAGTGACGTTCGAATCTTTGCTGAGCTGATTCTCAATTTCGCCGAGCTCGATCCGTTGTCCGTGAACCTTGACCTGTGTATCCTTGCGACCGACGTAATTCAGGGCACCAGTATCGGAGTTGTACCTGACGAGATCACCTGTCTTGTAGAATCTACGGTTCGAGCCACTTTCAGGGTCCAATGTAGTCCAAGCAGGGTCGTAGATGAACGATTCGTTTGTCTTTTGGGGATTATTCACGTAGCACCGGGCCAGGGGTGGGCCTTCCAAAAGTAGTTCTCCAGGGCAGCCCACGGGGACCAGTTCATCGTGGTTATCAGGGTTCACAAGCCAAGTTCTTACACCAATAGGCAGTCCGATATCTTTGCAATCGGTGTCAGGTGTAACATTGGAGTTGAGGACGGACGCCACGCTGGCCTCGGTAGGTCCATAACCATTGACCAGTTTGATTTTGGACCAGGTAGTGAGCTGTGACTGGGACATTGCCTCCCCGGCCAGGACTAAACTCTCCAGTCCTGGAACGCTCTCGATTTCAATAAAGCCGATGAATGACGGGGTGAAGCAAGCTTGGGTGACTCGCATCTCGTTGATGGTGCTCACAATATCGTTGAGCCGAGCTTCCTCGCTCGGAATGCACACGCATGCACCATGGATGAGCGGCGTCAACGTCTCAGCTAAACTAGCATCGAATGTGTGGGCGGCAAATTGAAGGCATCGCGAGTCGCGATAAATGCGCAGCCCGGGTCCATGCACCATTGCCCCAGACAGGAACGCGCGGTGCTCCAAGAGGGTCCCCTGTAAAATCATGAGTCAGCTATTCCAGCAAATTACTAGGTATATTTCAATAAAAGTCTAACCTTGGGTTCTCCTGTTGATCCAGAGGTAAACAGAACATAAGCCGCATTTTGACTTGTGACACCAGATGCAAGATTGACGCTGTCGGCAGGGTCCGACAGAGGATCTAGAGTATCAGCACAGAGGGGTATTAAAGTCTTCACGATCGGACGAAGTTTATCGGCAAGATGCTGAGAGCACAGCACAACCGGTGCCTCAACCGATTGGATGAGACCTTGCAGTCGAGAAGTTGGGTGACTTGGGTCCAATGGGACAAAGGCTCCCCCGGCTTTCATCACGCCAAGCATTGCAACGATGTTCCATTTCTGCGGAGTCAGTAAATGTTGTATATAACAATTAATGCTGTAACATTCATGGAACATGCGACTAACCGATTTATCAAAACACAAAGCCACGCGGATTTCCGGCCCGACTCCCTGCATGCGAAGATAGCATGCGAGCTTCGATGCTTGGTGGTCCAACTCGGCGAACGTCAAACTTCCATCCCACGCACACACAGCCTCACGATCAGGTCCGCTCAACATTTGATCGTGGATGGCCTCATGGATGCAGCGATCGTGAAGCTGGGGAGTAGTGGAATTCCACTTGCGGATGCGTTGCCAGTCGTTCTCCGAGAACAAATTAAGCTGGCTAATAGCGGTGTTCTCAGCAGAAAGCACTTTGGCAAGCAACTGCTCAAAAATGTTTGCGATACTCTTCATCTGTTCCCCCGACATGTCACCCTTGCGCCATTCGAGGAAGATGCTGATGTCTCCACGCAGCACCTTGACATGAAGACGGACTTGACACTGCGCATTGTTAGCCCAACTCCAATCTTGTCTTAAGGAAATCCCAGCTCCAATTCGCATAACAAACTAACCTCGTCCGGAAGAGCTGTCGCCAGAATAGGTTTTGAAGGAGAAGCAGGCGGGTCGTATGTGCGCAGCATGAAGATGGTGTTGAAAGGAAGATATGCCTCGGAAGTCTCCGGGCTTCCATTGCTCTGTCGAATCGCACTGTTTGCGCGCACCTTATCTACAATTGCTTTGAGAGAGTCGTTGTCGTTGATGGATATGCGGATCGTCGAAATATTGACGGTAGAACGCTGTACAGAAGATTTGGGAGAGCGCGAGTCGCCCTCGAGATGTTGGTAACCGAAGCATATATCCTCGGAGCGGATATAGTAGTGCAACAAAAGAGCCCAGGTGGCTCGTAGGATTGGGTCCAGACGGCCTTCATTCGATGCGGTTAATAACTGCGCATGCTGAGCCGCCGTGGGTCTCGTCTTCATCGAGACTGGGCGTTTAGGCCCGTCAACCGTCGAAGCGAACCGAGGAAGATAGCACTTGGTGGATTGAGCCATGATGTCTAATGGCTGGATAGGACCAAGCCGTCTATGTTTCGTTTCGTATTCGGTCGATGGAGAGGATGTGTATGTATGGGCCTAAGGTACGAAGGTACGAAGGATGAACGACAGTATTAATTCGACGGTGGTTCAAGTGCGCCCGCGAATCCGGAAGGTCTCGTCTTATTTTAAAGAAACTAAGTACAAGTTTTTTTTTCCCTGGAAAATACGTATTATTTCCCTTACAATCGAAAATAGCCACCTCCGCCGAGGGCTGCATGGGCCACACATCTCTCCAGAATCCAGTAATAGACGCCATATTCCTTGCATGGGATCTAGATGGAAGGGAGAGGGCGAGAGACAATACAACATACGTGGATCAGGTGTGTACTTGGCCCCCCTGTGGAACCAAGTCAGACTGTCTTCTCTGCTTTTTTTAATTTCTTTTTTTATTTATTTATTTCCGAGTTGCCATGTCGAATTTCGTATTTTCTATTTTGAACTGCCAAGGTAACCCTTGGAAAAGTACCTCGAACTAATACAAACAGGTCATCATGCAGGGGAAAGGTCTCCCACTCTGTCTCTCTGTACTCGGTAGACCGGAGTACTATTCTTCCAAATGAGAGCAATTCCCCCGATCAGGAACCCTTGCGGTCTGGAACGTGGGAATAGCAATTCAGAGCCGTCAGGGGCAAGAGGCGTTTAACCCGGAATCATGTTCATATTGGGTGGCGCTATCATCTACAGTTTCATTTTCCCCTTAGGCTTACAAGGTTGCAATGCTGACACTATTGTCTGCTTCGCTGTCCCATGCCGAGCTCGCTTAGGGCGAGCTGGGCGAACAGGTACATATTCCCAAAATGGGGGACAGCCGATGCCCTCACTTCATACTGGGGATATAGGCTTTGGTTCGATGCATGGCATCGTCACAGATGATATACGAGCCTCGTGCGGCGGTTATAGGTTACGATGTACACCGCCGGATGCGCACATGGCACTGACCCCGGATTAGTTGCTCCACGCTCACCTCTAGTCTGGAAGCTCTGGTGATGGGAGTGCATGGCATGGCAATCCGAGAACTGGGGTCCTGCATCAGTAAGGTGTGGCGAGCTAGGACGGGACGAACGAGGATTTACCGCGCAGTTCAGGCACTACCGCAGTGATGGTGTAGTGGAAATGCCGATCCTGTCCCGAGTGATCGAGATGGGAAAGTTAATTTGCTGGGATCTGACATGATCGTGTCTTGGATGTGGTGAGTCTTGGGGGAGGTTCAGGAGTCAAGAGACACCCCAAAAGCTGATTGTTGGGTTTGATCCCCGAGCTGAGGTTATCACGCCCTTCGTCCTTCGGATCTCCCAGTGTATGGATCCGAATATATACAGGGGTAGGTATGACTAGCATCGGAGGAATACTTGGCTAAAAGTGAAATACTATTGGATCTTGTAGGGCATGGCCGGCGATTGGATCTCAGAATAAAATTTGAGTTCGCTTATAGAAATTTACAAGAGGGAATTAATTGATGTAATCTAATTATTACCTGATGTGTAAGACAGAATATATGCGACTAATGATTTCTGCAAGGGCCTTCAAGGGATGGCACTATCCGGAGACCTGTCGACTTGGCGTCCACGGGTGTATTTTTATAGTAACATCCACAATAAGTTCAATGAATCAATAGCTCCATCCAGGTGGACGATACGGATGAGAATTCAAGTGAAAAAGGAAAACAAAATATCTTAGTCCGTTCAATCCCTCCGATTATGGCCAGTTGCATCGAAAACATGGTCTCATGTAGTGCAGGCATAATTGCTTTTTCCTGCTTCCTCACGTTTTCTTTTCTTTTCTTCTTCTTTTTCTTTTCTACAATATAGTTATTTTTGTCTTAAAATTTTGTATGAGCAGGATCTGGAACGTACATTTGTAATTCCCACTATTCTCACTAGTCAAGACAAGCTAAGTGCATGTACGATGTACCTATAGGGGAGGTGGGATTTTGTTCAGAGATCCACACGGGTAAGGCGCGATATTAGCGATATTAGCGATATTAGTTGAGAATCCAGAATGTTGTACGCCTAGCGCACAGGCTAGTTGGCACTTATGACGGGCTAATATAGCGCCCGCAGTTCGGTGTTGTGAACTAGTACTAAACAATGGAACTTGACAGGTTAATCCCATTGTCCACTCGATAGATCACATAAAATCTCTGCATGCTTTGAGCCCCAGGAAATGAATCCTTTCCTGTCTATTGACATTAATACACCGTACAAATATACATACGGAGTACTTTTATTAAAACGGGATTCGGAAATGTCTCCGCAAAATAATTTGGAATCAACTGTACATGTGAGCACAAATGGTATACAAATGTACATCAGTGGGGGTCATCATGCATACGATTTGCCACCTATCAACCATGCTTTTAAGACAATGGGAAAAATAAAAAAAATAAACACCGGCTGACCCTGGTCAATTCGGCTCCATCGGGGATTGTTGTTCATCAGGCACTTCCAGCTGTAGGTACAGATCCCGACTCATGCACATTGGCCCAGCGCCCACGCGAACAACACCACGTCTCTACCCACGTCTTGGGATGATGCAAAGTCTCAGGTCGGGCAGCCTCAATTCAAATCAGGAAGGCCGATGACGGCCGAAACCTTCGAAAAGGATTCAATGTGGGCCATGCTCAACAGTTTAGTAAAAATAAACGATTGGCCCGGATGAATTGACTTAGAGAATCCCTACCGCCACTACCGAGTGAATAGAAGCAAAAAAGGACGCCATGGCGTAGTTGAAAGACTGTAGACTTGATTTAGGATTATAATCCTGACGAAAACTCGCAGAACCCCAGTTGGAATCTCCATCTTATTTCCTGTGGCTTTTCTCCAGATGTGGAAGAACCAAGCGAATTGCTTCACCGTGTCTGACTTCAGCTTCTGCGGTCAAGCAGAGTTTGAGAAATATATATATCTCCCGTAAGTTTGGACAGTAAGAATAAGCACAGAAATATATTATATTATATTACATTATATTAATAACGACCAAGATTTGCAGCCCAATGCGGCAGATCTCCCATACAGATGGAGGCTTCACTCCCTCACATGAGTGGCTGCTTTGCCCTAAGTCAACACGGGACTTGGCCCATATGCACTACACCTTCGCCATCGCAACTCATCGCAACTCATTGGAGGTGATTGGAGGTCATTAGACTCTAATTATTTTATTCCTGCAAGGTAACACAACTCCCTCGTGTTGCTTGGGATTTACTCAAGGTTTCCTTGACTCGAGGGGCGAGCAGATCTAGTGATTCCATTGCATCCCCCACATCCTCAAGGGGGAGAGCAACCTATCCGCAATTTGCTTTGAGCAGCAGGACCACTATTAATGACTGAAGTGGGTCATAAAAATCACAGTCCAATCTCCCAAGGTCTTATAGTAAAACAAAAACAAAAGAAAAGAAACGCAAAACAAATCAAAATAGATGCAGCTGAATGGATCCCATACACACCTAGCCCGAGTCTAGACGAGCTCACAGGGCACTGCCAGTAGTAGCATTGTAAGATGGTTGCATCAAGTGTTGTATTCATGCCCACTTTGGTGCAGCCAACCAGTAACAGGGGGCATAAGGGTGAGCTCAGGGTTGTAGTTCTCCTAGATGTAATGAACTCCTGCCTAGAGGGATAGGCACCTCGTTTAGCCCTATGTACCTTTTACTATGGGGATTCAGTAGTAAAGCTGACTGTTCTTATGTCACTTTCTGATGCATCCGATCTAGACCAAAAAGCCGCAAGTTCCCCGAGCTCTCATGCAAGTTCTTTTAACCATACACTCTTTTGAATTCTAATTCCCCGTGCCGCTCGTTATTGCGTCTTTCTTTTTCTTCAACCATCCTTCTGTCGCCAGGTGGTTCAAGGAATAGACATGACATCCTCTCGCTATTCAGGGCCTTCGTGCCGCGATCTAGATCATACTCTACGTATTGATGCTGGATCATGTCGGGGAGGATTCGATTTCTCTCTTTTGTTTGAGGAGACTATTCTCCAGATATTACCTATTTTATTAATGCTAATCATTATTCCTGTTCGTCTGTGGCATCTCTCAAAAAAACGAAACAAAGTCGTGGGATCATGGTTGGTCCTCATCAAGCTGGTAAGTTGACTGTGTTGCTCTGCTCTGCTTTCTGCAGTTCGCATGCAACCCCCTGAACCCCCCGGTCTTTGGAATTGGTGAACAATTCTATTTTGGAATACTGTTATCTAATAACATCTCTGAACAGGTAGCTTGGTTGGCACTACTGGGTCTTCAAATTGCACAAACAGCCCTATGGGCCCTTCCGGCAGCTGACAGCACCAAGGCTTCGGTTGCAGCCAATGTAGTCCTAACCGTCGGCGTACTCGCTCTCGCTCTGCTTTCATATGCAGAACACACGCGATCTGTGCGACCCTCGTTCATTTTGAACACCTACCTTTTCTGCAGCCTGCTTTTCGACATCGCTCGGTCTAGAACGCTGTGGCTTCGCAGCGTGGACGCCTTCAATGATATCCTTGCCATTGTCGCGACAGTAGCGGTGGGCGTCAAACTGCTTCTGTTCGTGCTCGAAGCCGTAGAGAAGAGACAGATTCTCAAATCCGAATACGCCGGTTATCCGCCGGAAGCGACTGCAGGTTTCTATAACCGTGCTGTGTTCTGGTGGCTGAACCCACTGTTCAAGATCGGCTTCACTGGCGTCCTGCGTGTAGAGGATCTATTCTTATTGGATAAAGAGTTGAGCTCTGAGCGCCTTTTGGCTCGTTTTAATGAGAAATGGAGCAAAGGTAATTATCCGTCCCGACGATATGCGGTTTCTGTGTCTCTTTACTAATCTTTTGTTCAGTGACAACGAAATCCCCGAACACCCTCCAATGGGAGTCATTGAAGGCTGTCAAATGGCCTCTACTTGCAGCTGTTCCTGCCAGAGCTTGCGTTGTGGCGTTCAACTTCTGCCAGCCTTTGCTCCTGGAGAGATCGCTCTCTTTCTTCAATTCGCCCGTCAACAAGGGTACCCAAAACATCGGGTATGGCCTCATTGGCGCCTATCTCATGGTTTATGCCGGACTGGGAGTTTCAATGGGCCAGTATCAGCATCTCACGTACCGCGGGATTACCATGGTCCGTGGTGTTCTTGTCACAATGCTATACAAGAAAGCCAGCTGTCTGAACCTCGGGGAGACCGATCCCGCGAACTCGCTCACTTTGATGAGCGCAGATGTCGAGCGCATCACAAATGGATGGCAAACCATGCATGAGATCTGGGCAAACTCGATTGAAATTGCTTTGGCTATCTACCTTCTCCAGATTCAGCTGGGAATTTCCTGTGTTGTTCCCGTTTGTGTCGCTCTGTTTGCTTTGGTTGGGTCGTTGGTCGGCATGTCTTTCGTGGTCGCACGACAGGCCAACTGGCTGGAAGCTATCGAGAAGCGCATTTCCTCTACTTCCGGGATGCTTGGGTCGATGAAGGGAGTCAAAATGCTTGGTTTGCAGGATTCCTTCATGAAGTTCGTTCACGGTCTTCGGATCAGCGAGCTGGATATCTCCAAGAAGTTCCGTACCCTTCTCGTTTACAACATGGCATTTGCCTGGTTGACTCGCATTTTCGCCCCCATCTTCACCTTCGGTGTTTATGTCGGTATCTCAAGCGATCCTTTGACCGTCTCTCGGGCTTTCACATCGCTGTCTCTGTTCTCGCTTCTGGCAGATCCGCTTTTGACCTTGGTGATGGCACTTATGTCTTTTGCTGGCGCTGTTGGGTCTTTCCAGCGCATCCAGCAGTTCTTGGACAAAGAGGACCACGCTGATCGGCGGAACAGCTCCTCGCAGACTTTGTTCCTCGATGATCTCGCTGAAAAGCGTGCCCTATCGAAGGATAAGGACCTTGACCTTTCTTCCATCAACTCAGACTCTGTGGAGTCGCTTAAGCGCTGCAGTGCCCCGCCTCGGCAAACGCTGTCATTGTCCAAAGTGGAACCTTTGGATGGGAGGCTAACAAGGATCCTATTCTCAAGGAGATTACCATGAGTATTCCTCGAGGCAGCTTCACTGTTCTCATTGGACCCTCTGGATGCGGCAAGTCTACTTTGCTCAAGGCTCTCCTTGGAGAAATCCCCTGCTCAGAAGGCAAGGTTGCACTCGCGTCACCTAGCGTTGCATACTGTGATCAAACTCCGTGGCACATGAATGGCACTATCAAAGACAGCATCGTTGCGATGTCTGACTATGATCCTATGTGGTATGCCTCTGTAATTCAGGCTTGCGCTTTGGAAGAAGACCTCGCACAGTTCCCTCGTGGAGACGCTGCTGTTATCGGAAGCAAAGGTGTCGCCCTCAGTGGGGGTCAAAGCCAGCGTATCGCACTTGCACGAGCAGTGTACGCCCGGAGAAAGATCGTGATCCTCGATGATGCCCTCAGCGGTCTGGACGCAACCACGGAAAACCACATCTTCCACAACCTTCTCGGGCCCAGTGGACTTCTGAAGGAGATTGAATCCACAGTTATCGTCGCTTCATCATCTGTCAAACGCCTTCCTGCTCCGACCATATCGTTGTCCTGGAGGCAGGTGGTCGCATTAGTGAACAGGGAAGCTTTTCTGCGCTGAACAAGACTGGTGGATATGTGTCAAGCTTCGGACTCGGGTTGCCTGACTGGGAGTACAAGACTAAGCGGTTCTCCGACTCTCCCAGTTACAGCAGCATGGACACTGTCCAGAAAGAAAAGGAGTTATTGGTCGAGGAGCCAGAGCACCACGATAGAGGTGGCGATCTTGGAATCTACACATACTACGTCAACGCCATCGGATGGCTCCCTGCGATTATCTTCATGGTCGCAATGGCTGGTTTCGTGTTCTGCATCTCGTTCCCCAGCATCTGGGTGAAATGGTGGGCCCAGTCCGACACCGCACACCCCAGGCGGGAGATCGGCCATTATCTCGGTATCTACGCGATGCTTGGCTGTGTCGCTATGCTCGCATTGATTGTCGGCTGCTGGCAAATGATCATCACCATGGTTCCAAAGTCTGGCGAGAACTTCCACCGCAAGCTGCTGACCACTGTCCTCGGCGCTCCGATGCTGTTCTTTTCCACTACCGACAGCGGTTCAATCCTTAATAGATTCAGTCAAGACTTGCAACTCATCGATATGGAGCTTCCTATCGCTGCCATCAACACTGTTGCTACCTTCTTCCTCTGTCTGGCGCAGATGGCTCTTATTGGAGTCTCCTCCAAATACGCAGCCATCTCCTTCCCGATCGTGCTTGGTATCTTGTTCCTAATTCAAAAGATGTACCTGCGCACCTCGCGCCAGCTTCGTTACTTGGATATCGAGGCCAAGGCTCCGCTGTACTCCCACTTCACCGACTGTCTTCAAGGACTCGTGACTTTGCGCGCCTTCGGATGGCAACACGCCATGGAGAAGAAGAACATCGCTCTCTTGGACCACTCTCAACGACCCTTTTACTTCATGTTCGCTATCCAGCGCTGGCTTACTCTGTCGCTGGACATGGTTGTGGCGGGAATCGCTGTCCTTCTGATCGTGCTGGTTGTTGTCCTCCGTGGATCTACCCTCAGCGCAGGCTACGTTGGTGTCGCCCTGCTGAACGTTATCCAGTTCAGTCAGAGCATCAAGCTTCTGGTTACCTTCTGGACCAACTTGGAGACGCATATTGGTTCTATTCAGCGCATCAAGGACTTTACGTCAACTATCGAGTCGGAAGACAAGCCCGGTGAAGACCAAGATGTGCCCCCTAACTGGCCCTCCAAGGGTGCAGTCGCTTTCAACTCCGTCTCCGCGGCTTACAGACCCTCCGAGCCAGTTCTCAACGACGTCTCTCTCACTGTCAAGGCAGGTGAGAAAGTCGGCATCTGCGGACGCACCGGAAGGTAAGGAACTACACTCAAATCCAATATCCAACTTATTCTAACAAACACAACAGTGGAAAAACCTCCATGATCATGAGCATCTTCCGAATGATGGAACTAACCAGCGGCACCATCACCGTGGACGGAGTCGACATCAGTCGACTTCGGCGACGAGAGATCCGCTCCCTCATCAACGGCGTATCCCAAGACTCCCTCCTCTTCAAAGGCAGCGTGCGCCTGAACGCCGATCCAACCGGCCACCACACCGACCGCGACATCTTGGCAGCACTCAAGAGCGTCCAGCTCCTCCCTGCGATCGAAGAAAAGGGGAATCTAGACACAGACGTCGACGAGATCCACCTGTCTCACGGCCAAAAGCAGCTCTTCTGTCTTGCGCGCGCCCTTCTTCGCCCCGGCAACATCCTCATCTTGGATGAAGCAACTAGCAAGTAAGTCACCGTTCCCCTCGCTTCGCCCCACATATCCACTGCACATTTATTGCTCCCAATCCCCTGCATAAGACTTGATGCGAGCTGTACAATGCACCCACACACCGATACAACCCCTTGCTGCAAGAACCGAGACTAACACAGTTTGCTACAGCATCGATACCAAAACAGATGAAATTATGCAGCGTGTCATCAGAGAGAAATTCTGTAATCACACTATTATTGCGGTCGCTCACAAACTCGACACAATCCTTGACTTCGATCGTATCGTTGTCTTGGATGCTGGTCGCATTGTCGAGAATGGGGAACCGTATGCGCTTCTCACTGAGCCCAAGTCGCACTTTAGCCAACTTTATGCGAGTGCCATGGCGACAGAGGAATCGGATTAATTCCTTTTTTTTTTAATTTTGTTGAGAATTTCGGGTCGGTTGTTTGATTGATTTTGGCACCTGTACAGGTTGAAGCGTCTTTATTTTTCATTTTTTGGCGTGACAATCTTCCACATTCCCTTTTTCGAGGTACATATCGACAACATACTGATTTGGGGGCCTTTGGCGTTATATATTGGGTGTTTTTATTCTGGTTGATGTTCATGTTCATTTTTGGCTGTGATGATTATTATGTTCTTGACTATCTTTCAAATACTTTATACCGTTTGGAGTGGTATTTATGCATAGCTCCTTTATTTTACTCTTGACTCTTGACTTGTATTCTTTATCTTGTTCTTTTAGAGTATTGACAGTATCAATCACGACTTTGTAACTCCCGCAAATTCTCCCTACATATGGTCGAGGAGCAACACTTTACAGCTCGTGATATTTCTTCCGTATAATCAGATAATAATAGACAAAAAATGTGAACTTGGATAGATTACCCTTCGTTTTGATCAACTTTCATTTGTATAAATTATGATGCTTGAACACTACTCAATATATAGTTGCAAGATATATATATCGCAGAACCCACATCCGTTTCGATATCCGACCAGAATTGTTCGGAAAATCATTTAATTAGAATATGCTTAATTATAATCAAGTACAACATGTATCAGGAATAAACCGTCTAATACAAGTCTTTTTAGTGGACTTTCTAAATGTCTGCCTCATACTCTCCCTGATGTATCCTCTTCGTCACCTTCTTGGGTCATGTGACCTTTGCGTTTGATCCCAGTCATCTCCCTAGGTAGTCGCCCGTTATTTTTTCTCTTTTCAATACACTCTGATCTATCTGATTCTCAGATTATGAGTGTCTTGCTTTGTTTATCGCATCTTCAACTCGAGTCCTCCCCTGCACCTCCACTAGTGTCATATCCGCACCCCACCAACAACATTCTCTTGGCGGTAACTGCCCTCGGGGAAGTCCATCTACAATACTCTGAGTGTCCATCTCCTTATCTTCACTATTGTGTCCCGGTTGCTCTAGACTTCCTCCAGGGATGGAACCTCCCACCAAACTTGCAGAGGTGCTTGTTGTGACCCCCCCTTACGCCCCCTGTGACTCGCAAAAGAAGGGTCACACCTTCGTCAGAGCTGTCATCTCTTAGCAAAAGCTGCATCTTATCTCCTGATGTGGTGTTCTCTTCGGAAAAGACAGGCCTCCGTCTGGATGATTCACCCCTCTTTGCGGCATCCAAGCATCTTTTCCCGTTGGGCGAAGCTATCATCAGTAAGTCTTCACGAAGTCTACTTTTTCGGATCATATACTAACGCATATATGTTAGACAAGAGATCTCATCTTAACACGGCATATACTCATCTAGAGTCGCCGTCCCGACACCTAATTCTACCCTTCAACCTACGTGAAAAACGAACTTTCCACCGCAATTCTGCTCATCTCATGCACCTGTTTCCTGACACGAAGGCAGTTCTATTTGATGGCTATGTCTTGGTGTTTTTGCTCGGCTCCATGCCACCAAAGCCGTGGCCGCTCACCATTGCCGGTATCCAGCCATATTTCACAACTGACCCGGATGACGATGGCCCACTGCCGTCAATGAAACGTATGAACAAATTACGTCTTTTCGTAGACGCTGAAATCGACGTCACTCACCTTCCACCCTCTGAAGTTGGCGATGCATTCGAGCTCGTCTTCGGTTTCTTTGCTAAATCTCAGATCTCCATCGCGCAAGTTCAGTACTACGGCAATTTCTTCATCATTGTGTTGGAGAATGAGTACACGGATCTTACTACAGTTCCCCGCTCGATAGGCTGCTGCAACTGTTATTATCTGTTCGAGAACGAGGTAGGATTCCCACAACTAGCAGAATCTCCGGCGCGCGGGATTACTGGACCGACTCACGTTACATATATTGTCGATAATAGCGAGTATGGTGTTTTACGTCCGGGTGTTATGCTAAGCTCCGCGACCGACCACGAATATCTCACAGCCGGCGTACTTGCTGAAGACTCCAACTCCGGCGAGCGATACATGACTGTTGCCTCTCATGGGTTTCCGAGTGGAAGAGTTTTCCATCCGTGCGCCAGTGGTAAAGAGACCGGTCAAGTCGCGGAGATCAGAGATATAGACCTCGCGCTTGTGAAATTACATAACGATGTCCAGTTTGCTAACGAGACTGAGAGTCCTGTCGGAAGAGGTCCTACCCAGTTACAAGATTTCGTCTCTATCGACGACTTAAAGATCAGTGCTAATGTGTATATGAACAGCCCATTTACTGGCTACTCTGAAGGTACCTGTGGGCCTCATGGTCGGCTGCGAGTTCCTAGTAATGACCCTAGCCAACACAAATGGGTCAAAACTCGCTGGTGTTACATGGGTCAGGGATTCGCTGAAACCCTCCAAGATGGTGTTTGTGGATCTGCCATCTGGAATGATGGTGGAAATGCCATTGGATTTTTCCGTTATGCAGCGAGGTCGGGCCAATTCCGAGACTGGTCTCTCTGCATCGGAGCTGACTATCTCATTGAACACGGTTTTAAGATTGCTAACTTTTAGTTTTGCCGTCGTCTTTGAGTACTAACTTCTATATCAAAGACACTACTAGAAAGACTACTGAAAAGGCTATTAAAGAGGCTACTAAAAAGAAATGACAAAGTTGCGTATGAACACGCCAAATATTCTTGTTCTCTCATCCGTAGTTTAAAAAATTCTCTATCTTGAACCTACGAAATTGGAGTGATTGTCTAGTAGAAATAGTATGATTGGATCCCCAAGAGCCTAACCCAAAGGTTTCGGGAAAGTTTGAAGTGGCACCCAGGCTCCTGTTAGGGACTTTCCACTCAGGGAGACAATTTGGAGACAATGGTATCATGTATAGACCCATATTGTACTAATGAGAACAGTGTATGCAACCTTAGGCTACCTATGTACCAATGGGCTAGCCATTGTAGTGAAGCCAAAACATGTTCCTAAGCCAAGCTCCTTGAAAATAAGCCCATATTATCCTCGAGCTCCATCGATATAAAAAGAAACGAGAAAAGCAAATCCTATTCTGCACCCCACCCGATTATGGACTAAAGAAATGAAAACACCGGAGTACCATACATTGGAACAAAAGAAGATTAAATTCGAAGTGGCCGTTCAATCGGCCGAAAATGCAAAGAGTCATAGATAAGTCCCCCGCGGAGTACCAACTACAGAACCATCGTTTCATCATTATCCACGTCCTTCTCCTCGTCGAGACCAAACTCCCAGTCTCCACGCTCAATCCGACTGACACGGTCAAGCTCAGACTGGAATTCGCGACGCAGATGGTCGAGCGTAACGATGATACGACGCTTAAGCAAGTGGTTGGTTGCAGGGACTTCGAAGGACACAATGCTGTTACGCCGTTCGATGGCGGAAGATTTGCTGCTTCCTCTGCGGTGGGTGGGCGCGAAAGCCACGCCATTAGACGATCGCTTGCCTCCGAGTGGTGTGGGAGAGGTGGCGTCGACGTCCTCCATGGAGACGTTTCCGTCTTCATCGGCCTGCGTGCTTGGGCGTCTTTCATGGGGAGGCATCGGGGCGGCGCTGATTGGGGGTCCGTTCTCGACCAGGATGTATGCTTCGCTCTTGTCGACACAAGCGAGGAGGTTGATTAGCGACAACAACTCATGGCGGATCTCCTTGCTTTCGGCATCGTCTTCCTCAACTGGCGACCGGGCTGCATCGTCCGCTTCCCTGCTTTTGAGGGTGAGGGCTGTTGACGGGGCATCGCGTGCTTTGCGGAGGCGCTGGACGTTGCGGTAGGCGATTTCAGCGGCGCCGCGGTAGTCACTGCGGGCGATGCGATAGGCCTGGAGAATGCGGGTGTAGTCAGGGGTGGCTGGGAAAATCTTGTTGTCCGCATCCAACCAGGATACATTGGTGGTTTGTTTGCGGGTCAGGTGAACGAGGATTTCGTCAATGAAAGATGCGATGTTGGGCACGAGTGAGGTGGGGAAACGGAGAATCTGCTTGAGACCAGCTGTACCAGGTCCGGAGACTGCCAGTATGGTGGAGACGAGTTCGCTGAGCTCGGTTCTCTGTAATTTGAGATCCTGCAACCTAGCCAGAGCGGAGTATGCTTGGTCAAACTGGCAAGTCTTGAGGGCTCCAGTGAACAGACGAGAAAGCAGATCATCGCGTATGGTCGGATATTCGGAGTCTTGCTCGGCCCAAATTTCAGAGTCAAGGGCCTGCAGCGCCAGGCTGGCAAAGTCCGCAACATGGGAGTATGAGCGCACCTTCTCGAAGATCGAAAGGATGTGCTGGTAGTATTTCGCAAGACCGTTGTGGAAGCAGTCAACATCGAGGAGGTCTAAAAGCTCTGCCGACATGTCGGAAAGATTGCCCATTGGCTTGCCGCAAGCTGCATTTAGGTTAGCTGAGTTAGACCAACACGAGGAATCACCAGGAGATACGTACAAAGCAGATAAGCTGCCTTCCGGAAGTAGATTGCTGCGGTATCAAATTCCGACATAGCCACATGCAAGCGACCCTTGACATACGTCGACCAGGCAGTACTTGCCTGGAAACGAAGGAAGTCCCATGCAAGATCGATGTTGTTCTTGGCGATCAGGTCACACTGGATGTGGGCCACTGCGTTTTGATAGTTCACCTCACCTTCGCGGGTAATCCAGGCCACGACGTCTCTGATTCCCAAAGTTAAGGTGTAGCTTTGTGGGGAGTCAATCGCTTGCTGTGGCTTGATATCAGTAACGAACAGATCCTCCAGGATGCTTGCAGTCCGTTGACTATTGGTCTTCGAGCTGTCTTTCAGTGTATATCTCTGCATTGAATCGGCGCGGTACTTGCTTGCGCTATCGGGGCATTTGCGGACATTCGAGCTGAGCCAGGCCATCATCTCATATTCACGTAGGAGATCAACAAGCATTGAGAAAAGGTCGGACGCATCGAAGTCAGACTTGCTTGTTTGTTCCCATTCGCCGTCCACGAATGTGACGAGAATCAGTAGATCGAAAAAGATTTGACGAGAGATAGAAATAGTCTCCTGCGCACCACTGACTAGAACTCGAGCACCAAAACAGGTTGAAGCAAGTTCCGAGTCTTCTCCGCAGAAGTGAGAGGAGGCGGTTTGGATAATAGCAAGGAACGCATCCATGGACAAGCAATCAGTTCTCATGTATTCACTCAGGGCCGCGTCTAGGGCGTCAAAGGATTTGTTGGAGATTTGATTAGCAAAGTCACAGCGCTCTCGGAAGTTCTCCATACGGTCCAGGATCGACGAAGAAGGTTCAGAAAAGATCTCGGCCTGAAGAGCGGCTCGGCACGCCCCATCAAGCTCTGGGGAGAATCTTTTCCGGAAATCGGATGCCACTTTCAACAAGCCAGAGGCTGTTTCGAAATTCGGGCCCAGCTCTCTTGAAACATTGCGATGCCTCCAGCGATCTACCATCTTCGGCACTCCGTCGCTAAGCTCGGAGCTGGAATTGTGCAAGTACAATTCAGTAATACTGCATTCCCGCACCACAGCGCATGAGTCTGACAGAAGCAGCCATGGCATATCGGCGTATGAGTCGTAGGCGAGAGAAATCGGCTCGAACCGGCGCTTGTTAAGGTCTTCTGCAACTTGCCAGAACTGACGCCACTTTGCATCTGTGTCTGAAGTATATCGGGAGTAGTCCATCTCCTCGTCGGCAAATTTCCGAAGAGAGACGGCCGATGCTATTGTAGAGCAGAGTCGTTCCGCCAAAGGCAAACTCTTTTTCAGCCCTCCAGATGAAGATGACGAGAGTGGCTTGATGGCCTCCTGATAAACGGCCAAAGCAGTCTCAAGGACCTCCGGCATGTATCTATTCGGCCGCAAGAGATACTGTAGCCACTTTTCAGTAGGGTCCATCACATCATCCACGACCAGAGGTGGTGGTGATTCTTGTCGATGAGTTTCAAATGTTGTCGAAACCCAGTTGGAGGCCCAATCGGAAACTAGAGTTTGGAGATTGAAATGGAGGGTGTAGAGTTGGTAAAGACCGTGGTTTCTCCAGAGCACCCACAACTCCATCCCCTTGCCTTCTTCCCGGGATTTGACCTGGAAATCAGCGATGTTCCAGAACATGTTACCCGTGGCATCGGGGTCCACAGGACGGAAGACATCATCTGCGAAGAGTTCCTCAATAATGAGTTCGGATGTCAGGCCACCCTTGACAGCCCAAAACTTGAACTTGCCATCCTCAAATGGCGAATATGTGACGACGTAGAAGCGATGTCCTCCATCCATAGCCCGCTCGGCGTTGAAGACGCGCATAAACGATGTCTGGGCGGGGTTGAGCGTGTAAGGTACAAGATCTGGATCCTGAAGCGAGCGTCCCAGGAGATCCTTCGTGGCCGCTAGCTTATTCGTTGCGAGATTCCAAATCTTAAGAGTGTGGTTCAAACAAATCGCGAAGACGTATGTCTCGTCGGAGGTAGTAGCAATGGCATTTGCGACATTCAAATCAAGGTTGCGTCCGTCGTGTTTGATCGAGGAGGGTGCGCTCCATTTGACGAGGCCTCGAATCGAAGAGCCCCATGTTCGTTCGTCAAAAGTAAGAGGAGACCAGTGGGAACCTAGTTTCAGAAGCAATTAATAAAACGAGCGTCGCAAAAGTAGAGCAAAACCACTTACCATCATCACCAGCTCTCCGGGTCAGTCGCAGGAGCGCGCCATTATCGAGAGAGATGAATAACTCCAGGGGACTGCTCGCGTGTAGTCGGTGGGGGTTCGAAAAGGCCAATGGAGCGGGGAGGCACGTCTTGCACCAATCCCTCACATTTTCATCGATCGAGGAGGTCCGGCGGAAGAACTCAGGGCGTAGTGACAGGGTGTGAAGGTGCTTCGAGGCGGTGATCACAAAGACACTGATGATTTCGTGGTCCTCGGAGTCGGACAATTCAACTCCAAAAGGGAGGATCCGCTCCTGGAAATCCAGTCGCAGGGTCACATTGAACTCGTAAACTTCCGTCCCACTCTTCGTCAGGTCCGCGCACTGGATCTCCAGCACTTTGTTGTCGTTGATGACCCTCCACAAGAATGTCCTCGGATAGGCCCTGCGCTTCCGGAAGTAGACCTCACCCTGTGTCGCAAGATAACGTCTGGCGAATTCATCTTCATCTTTGGCGATTGGGAGTTCTTGGTCGGAGGATGAGATCGAAAAGCGTGGACGGCGGATCGCGGTCTCTTGAGTCGGAATCTGGATGTTGGCGACGGTGGTCGACGAGTAAGGTCGAAGGTCGACCCTTGAGTCTTTGTAAATTTTCGCCATGATCGATTGACATGTGTCAACTTAACACTCCATGGCCAGGGAAGTAGAGAGGGTGGAAGATTGAAGGGCGGGAAGCTGGAGCTCTCAAAAAACAAAGTCTTGGCGCGATAAAAGGCCTGAGATTGATGGCTTCCGCCCTCGACAGTTTACTCTTAGACCACTTCAATCACTTCAATTGCACATTGTTTTACTCTATATTTCAAGATATTGTTTAAGAATAAACAGAAATTGCTTTCTAAATCCGCTACTATCAAAAAGAAATCAACCCTC